AAAACGTCATAGTATAGTAAGGCATAAAAACGTCATAGTATAGTAAGGCATAAAAATGTCATAGTACAGTAAGGCATAAAAATGTCATAGTACAGTAAGACATAAAAAGTCATAAAAATGTCATAGTATATTAAGGCATAAAAATGTCATAGTATAGTAAGGCATAAAAACGTCATAGTATAGTAAGGCATAAAAACATCATAATACAGTAAGGCATTAAATGTCATAAAAACGTCATAGGACAGTAAGGCATAAAAACGTCATAGTACAGTAAGGCATAAAAAGTAAAAAAAAAAAGTCATCATATAGTAAGGCATAAAAAGTCATAAATACGTCATAGGACAGTAAGGCATAAAAACGTCATAGTATAGTAAGTCATAAAAAGTCATAAAAACGTCATAGTATAGTAAGGCAAAAAAAGTCATAAAAAAGTCATAGTATAGTGAGGCATTAAAAGTCATAAAAATGTCATAGTATAGTAAGGCATAAAAAGGCATAAAAACGACATAGTATAGTAAGGCATAAAAAGTCATAAAAATCATAATATAGAAAGGCATAAAAAGTCATAAAAAAGTCATAGTATAGTAAGGCATGAAAAGTCATAGTATAGTAAGTCATAAAAAGTCATAAAAAAGTCACAGTATAGTAAGGCATAAAAAGTTATAAAAACGTCATAGTATAGTAAGGCATAAAAAGTCATAGTATAGTAACGCATAAAAAGTCATAGTATAGTAAGGCATAAAAAGTCAAAAAAAAGTCACAGTATAGTAAGGCATAAAAAGTTATAAAAACGACATAGTATAGTAAGTCATAAAAAGTCATAAAAAAGTCATAGTATAGTAAGGCATAAAAAGTTATAAAAACGTCATAGTATAGTAAGGCATAAAAAGTGATAGTATAGTAAGGCATAAAAAGTTATAAAAAAGTCATAATATAGTAAGGCATAAAAAGTTTTAAAAACGTCATAGTATAGTAAGGCATAAAAAGTCATAGTATAGTAAGGCATAAAAAGTCATAAAAACGTCATATTATAGTAAGGCATAAAAAGTCATAAAAACGTCATAGTATAGTAAGGCATAAAAACGTCATAGTATAGTAAAGCATAAAAAGAAAAAAAAGTAATCGTATAGTAGGGCATAAAAAGGCATAAAAAGGTCATAGTATAGTAAGTCATAAAAACATCATATTATAGTAAGGCATAAAAAGTCATAAAAATGTCATAGTATAGTAAGGCATAAAAACGTCATAGTATAGTAAGGCATAAAAACATCATATTATAGTAAGGCATAAAAATGTCATAGTACAGTAAGGCATAAAAAGTCATAAAAATGTCATAGTATAGTAAGGCATAAAAACGTCATAGTATAGTAAGGCATAAAAACGTCATAGTATAGTAAGGCATAAAAATGTCATAGTACAGTAAGGCATAAAAATGTCATAATACAGTAAGACATAAAAAGTCATAAAAATGTCATAGTATATTAAGGCATAAAAATGTCATAGTATAGTAAGGCATAAAAACGTCATAGTATAGTAAGGCATAAAAACATCATAATACAGTAAGGCATTAAATGTCATAAAAACGTCATAGGACAGTAAGGCATAAAAACGTCATAGTACAGTAAGGCATAAAAAGTAAAAAAAAAAAGTCATCATATAGTAAGGCATAAAAAGTCATAAATACGTCATAGGACAGTAAGGCATAAAAACGTCATAGTATAGTAAGTCATAAAAAGTCATAAAAACGTCATAGTATAGTAAGGCAAAAAAAGTCATAAAAAAGTCATAGTATAGTGAGGCATTAAAAGTCATAAAAATGTCATAGTATAGTAAGGCATAAAAAGGCATAAAAACGACATAGTATAGTAAGGCATAAAAAGTCATAAAAATCATAATATAGAAAGGCATAAAAAGTCATAAAAAAGTCATAGTATAGTAAGGCATGAAAAGTCATAGTATAGTAAGTCATAAAAAGTCATAAAAAAGTCACAGTATAGTAAGGCATAAAAAGTTATAAAAACGTCATAGTATAGTAAGGCATAAAAAGTCATAGTATAGTAACGCATAAAAAGTCATAGTATAGTAAGGCATAAAAAGTCAAAAAAAAGTCACAGTATAGTAAGGCATAAAAAGTTATAAAAACGACATAGTATAGTAAGTCATAAAAAGTCATAAAAAAGTCATAGTATAGTAAGGCATAAAAAGTTATAAAAACGTCATAGTATAGTAAGGCATAAAAAGTGATAGTATAGTAAGGCATAAAAAGTTATAAAAAAGTCATAATATAGTAAGGCATAAAAAGTTTTAAAAACGTCATAGTATAGTAAGGCATAAAAAGTCATAGTATAGTAAGGCATAAAAAGTCATAAAAACGTCATATTATAGTAAGGCATAAAAAGTCATAAAAACGTCATAGTATAGTAAGGCATAAAAACGTCATAGTATAGTAAAGCATAAAAAGAAAAAAAAGTAATCGTATAGTAGGGCATAAAAAGGCATAAAAAGGTCATAGTATAGTAAGTCATAAAAACATCATATTATAGTAAGGCATAAAAAGTCATAAAAATGTCATAGTATAGTAAGGCATAAAAACGTCATAGTATAGTAAGGCATAAAAACATCATATTATAGTAAGGCATAAAAATGTCATAGTACAGTAAGGCATAAAAAGTCATAAAAATGTCATAGTATAGTAAGGCATAAAAACGTCATAGTATAGTAAGGCATAAAAACGTCATAGTATAGTAAGGCATAAAAATGTCATAGTACAGTAAGGCATAAAAATGTCATAATACAGTAAGACATAAAAAGTCATAAAAATGTCATAGTATATTAAGGCATAAAAATGTCATAGTATAGTAAGGCATAAAAACGTCATAGTATAGTAAGGCATAAAAACATCATAATACAGTAAGGCATTAAATGTCATAAAAACGTCATAGGACAGTAAGGCATAAAAACGTCATAGTACAGTAAGGCATAAAAAGTAAAAAAAAAAAGTCATCATATAGTAAGGCATAAAAAGTCATAAATACGTCATAGGACAGTAAGGCATAAAAACGTCATAGTATAGTAAGTCATAAAAAGTCATAAAAACGTCATAGTATAGTAAGGCAAAAAAAGTCATAAAAAAGTCATAGTATAGTGAGGCATTAAAAGTCATAAAAATGTCATAGTATAGTAAGGCATAAAAAGGCATAAAAACGACATAGTATAGTAAGGCATAAAAAGTCATAAAAATCATAATATAGAAAGGCATAAAAAGTCATAAAAAAGTCATAGTATAGTAAGGCATGAAAAGTCATAGTATAGTAAGTCATAAAAAGTCAAAAAAAAGTCACAGTATAGTAAGGCATAAAAAGTTATAAAAACGACATAGTATAGTAAGTCATAAAAAGTCATAAAAAAGTCATAGTATAGTAAGGCATAAAAAGTTATAAAAACGTCATAGTATAGTAAGGCATAAAAAGTCATAGTATAGTAAGGCATAAAAAGTTATAAAAAAGTCATACTATGGTAAGGCATAAAAAGTCATAAAAAAGTCATAGTATAGTAAGGCATAAAAAGTTATAAAAACGTCATAGTATAGTAAGGCATAAAAAGTCATAGTATAGTAAGGCATAAAAAGTTATAAAAAAGTCATACTATGGTAAGGCATAAAAAGTCATAAAAAAGTCATAATATAGTAAGGCATAAAAAGTTTTAAAAACGTCATAGTATAGTAACGCATAAAAAGTCATAGTATAGTAAGGCATAAAAAGTCATAAAAACGTCATATTATAGTAAGGCATAAAAAGTCATAAAAACGTCATAGTATAGTAAGGCATAAAAAGTAATAAAAAGTCATAGTATAGTAAGGCATAAAAACGTCATAGTATAGTAAGGCATAAAAACATCATAGTATAGTAAGGCATAAAATCATCATAGTATAGTAAGGCATAAAAATGTCATAGTACAGTAAGGCATAAAAGGCATAAAAAGTAATAAATATGTCATAGTATAGTAAGGCATAAAATGTCATAAAAACGTCATAGTATAGTAAGGCATAAAAACATCATAGTATAGTAAGGTATAAAAAGTCATAAATACGTCATAGTATAGCAAGGCATAAAAACGTCATAGTATAGTAAGGCATAAAAATGTCATAGTACAGTAAGGCATAAAAGGCATAAAAAGTCATAAAAATGTCATAGTATAGTAAGGCATAAAAATGTCATAGTATAGTAAGGCATAAAAATGTCATAAAAACGTCATAATATAGTAAGTCATAAAAAGTCATAAAAATGTCAGTATAGTAAGGCATAAAAAGTCATAAATACGTAATAGTATAACTAGGCATAAAAATGTCATAGTATAGTAAGGCATAAAAACGTCATAGTATAGTAAGGCATAAAAATGTCATAGTACAGTAAGGCATAAAAGGCATAAAAAGTCAAAAAAAAGTCATCGTATAGCAAGGCATAAAAAGTCATACATACGTCATAGTAAGTCAGTAAGGAATAAAAATGTTATAGTATAGTAAGGCATAAAATGTCATAAATACATCATAGTATATTAAAGCATGAAAAACGTTATACTATGGTCAGGCAGAAAAACGTCACAGGCATGAAATATCATAAAAACTTCATAGTATAGTAAGGCATAAAAATGTCAAAAAATGTCATAGTATAGTAAGGCCCTTTGCTGCATGTCACCCCCTCTCTCTCTCCAACCTTCCTGTGTCTCTCTCACTGTCTCTATCACAACAAGGTCAAAAATGCCCCAAAAAAAAAACCTGTCAACAAACGTAAATAAGTATAGAATGTAACATAAATGCAAACATAACAGTATAGTAAGGCATAAAAAGTCATAAAAACACCACTTTAACTTAAGGCGTAAAAAGTATTAAAAAGCCAGGTATAAAAATGTCATAGTAGTAAGGCATATTAACATCATAAAAACATCATGAAATCAGCATGTTTCTGTTTCCTGAGATTGACATCAGTGTTACTGCCACTCACTCTGAGATGTGAACGAATATGTCTTCGCCGCCGTGAGAGGGTCGTATGAAGCCGTGACCTTGTGACCTGGAGAAGTTCTTACACATGCCCTTGAACACTGGTCCTGATTGGGCACGTACTGTACTGCAGGCAGAGGGAAAGAAGACAACAAAGTTCTCATTCATTAACCATTAAATGACTCGTTCTGTTTTGGCAGAAGAAGAACACAAGAAGAAAGAGCAGTTTACAGTTACAATTCATGATTCAGGCCTTTGTGACAAGAGACTTGGAGAGATGTGAGGAGGATTTATAAAGGATGTGAGAAAGGAAGATGAAGTGCTGATCAAATCAACTCCTACACGTCGCCTCATCATGTCACAATACAGCTGCAGCAGAGATGAGAATACTAATCTGCTGAGTCACAGTGGAAACAGCTCAGTATTTAACCTTTCTTCAGTAGCAACCAGCCATGATACAGCAACCTGTCAGATTAACATTCATTTACATTAACTGGTATTCAGATGCTTTACTTAAAGTAGCAATCTTTCAATACTACCACTCTCTAAAAAAAGACCCTTCAAGGTTTATATGCTGTAACCAGTGGCTTCATTATTCCTCCATGTCAGTGACAGTCAGAGCTGGGGACATATTGTTTTCAGGTTGTCCGTCACGTCCGTCCGTTCCTTTCTCGTGGACACATTATCTCAGAAAAGCCTCGACAGAACTTCTTCAAATTTGTCACAAACATTCACAAGGACTCACGGGTTAACTAATTAGATTTTGGGGGTCAATTATGACCAAATTTCATAAGAAAAGGTTAATATATTATATGACTCTGGATAAACAGGGATGTAACCTGGAACTAGTTTGAGTGGCGGAGGGATACAACCACAAGGAAATAATTCCAGTTTTTCTTTCTCTCTTCTAATCACCTGTTGTACTTTGTATCATTGTAATTAATATAAACCATTTTGTATAGATTGCCAATTCTTGAGACAAGAGATGCATTTGTTATTGTTTGTTTGTTTTTTGTTTTTGTTTTTTTATTCCTTCTAATGTTCAGAGTGAATGCAGCTTACACATGCTGAAGTATACAGTATATTATACGAATGCTAAAGGCTGTATTTCATCATGTTAAAATTTAAATAAAAATGTTGTGGCAAAAAAATACTTTTCTGTGAAATATATGTGAAATGAAATGAAAAAAGTCAAATAAGGTACAAGCATCACTTCAGTAGAGTATCACACTCGCACTTACGCTGAATAGGTGCGGGTGCGTTTGGTTGGCAGCGGGCTGGGCAGATCCCGAGGCAGCGGTTGCTCCTTCCCTTCCTCCCACACCCGGCTCCCCTCCCTCAAGAAGGGGAAGGACAGGGTGAGAGAGGCGTTGGGGGAGCGCAGCGGCGTCCCAGAGGGTGATGTGAGGCTGGGGTCCGCCATGTCAGATGTGACAGAGAGGAGGAGGATGGGGGAAGGATGGTGTGGATGCAGTGTTGGATGCTGATGGGCCGCTGACACCGCTGTCTGTCGGCCGGTGTATCTGTGAGTCCGTCTGCCTCAGCGTTGGACACAGGCTCAGCGGTTATCCAGGTCAGCGCTGTCGCTTCAAGTCTGTCAGGAGGACCTGCCGTGAGGAGAGAGAGCGGATGAAGACCACAGAGTCGTCATATTGCTTTAAAGAAGGAGAGGAGGCGTCCAGCCATCTCCTTTCATTATTTGACAAAATTGCGTTAAAAGATTAAAAAAATCCTCCCAACAGCTGACAGATGTTCAGGTGACCTTTTCCAAACAGGAGTTTTCAAACAGGACAACAAATGGAGTAAAACCTGACGGTGATGTCTGCAGTGCTGTTGTGGCAGTTTTAATAGTGGAAGTTTACATTTCTTCAGTGCAAGCTTTGACTGTATTACCCAAAATATAAAAGCTTGTAAACTGAGGACACACACACACAAATCTGAACAAATCATCAAATAAATAATTCAAAATAAATAACCACAAACAAGACTAAACAACCAAGGATATGTATTTTCAGGTGGGAAAAAAATTACTTTCCATTCACAGTAAAATACTGGGTATAGTTTGTTTTTTAAATGTCTATATTTGGTTTAATGTGATATTTCTGCTTCAATCCTGCTCTCATTTGATGCTTTTTCCTGAAACTCAATTCCTAACTATTAATTTTCTCTGCCTCCAACCTTCAGTACATTCCCTCTCAACTTTAAAATAAATCTTCCTCTTTTCCATCCTAACATCATGTGTCTAAACTGGTGACCTGAAACCCAGAAGAAAACCATGAGATGTCCTGTCAAGGGCTTTGGATTTTTGTGTAGATTTTATTTGGGTTTCTAATGCACAACCAGCTGTGATTTACCTGCCATTTCATCTTTCTTTCACTTAGCAACACAATCATTCAGATCTCATCAACACTATTCAAGTCCCTAAACGACTTTATCTCTAATTCTGCACTTGATATAAAAACAGTGCAGGTTGTGTCGTCTGTCTCCCAGATCCTCCCAACAGCTGACAGATGTTCAGGTGACGCAGCCAACACTTCCTCAATCAAACTCTTTAAATCAAGTCATTTCAAGTATTAAAGTTGTATTTCAGTGATTCTGTGCTGCACATAAAGTTGGGGGACTTACTGGGGACAGATTTAACCCTCATGTTGCCCCCGTTTTCAAATGTTTTTATATCAGAAATCTGGTTTTCTTTCATGTAAATTGACTGAAAATTACATGGATGGTTCCTTTTCGCAAATCCAATTAATGATCACTATTCTATACTTTCCACAGAACTGTGGGTGTTTTATTCTAATTTATAGCATCTGTGGGTTTCCAGGGTCAAATTTGACCCGGCCACTACAATGGATCACTCTATTGAAATGGTTTCAAAACAGTATCCTGACTAAACTTTGACATGTACCTGTCGGTGATAATTCATCAACATATGTTCCTCTGATTGTAACTATAGTCAAACTTATTCAAAATTTCATTTTTTGTTTTATTTTACTCAAAAACAAGGTATATTTTTTATGTAAATGAGGTTTATTGACCATAAAATACCAAAAGAAAGTCGCAGTAATGAGTTGGAATGAAGTCGACTGAAAAGGTGCAATCATTGGGCAATAATTTTATACTTCATGTTTTATAAACAGTCAAACAGACCCGGGAGGACGAAAGTTGCATGGTCGATGGGAAGACAATACAAGGGTTAAAAAAACACATCGATCAAAATTGTTGCAACAGAGGCCATGATATCCTGACTGTTAGTCTGGGTCCAAAAACACTGGATCCTACGCTGCCCATAATCAGCAACTGTAGCAAAAATGTGAACGTATACGAGTTTCTTAGGTTGTGATTTGTAAAACAGGATTTGTGCACCTGCAATGAAGAATTTGAGATGGTGTAACGGTCGTGTTGTGTTTGTGAGAGGGAAAAAAATCTACAAGTATGCAACTCCTGTCTAACCTTCATAAACATTAATAATAATAATTATTATTAATATTATTATTGTTATTATTATTAGTTTGTACAGGCTTTCTGTTAAAAATGTTTGTCTATCTATCTATCTATCTATCTGTCATTCACTAATACATGCACAATACATCCTGTTAAATCAGGTGACCTTGCCCTTCAATTTAATCTGGTGTCTCCCAGGGTTACGGGATGAGGAGGAGCGGACTGATCTCCTGTCAGAAGTCAAACACCGTGATCACAGTCCGGAAAACCAGCGCCATGTCTTATATTTCATCTGTGTGTGTTTGTAGCGCGTTTTTCTTTCTTTCTTTTACGCCCACTTCTCTGCCTGTGATGATGCAGGCAGAGATGGAGCTGCGTGACGTCAGAACAGCTGCAGAACGCCGCCTCCAGTGGTGCGTTCGTGACGTCAGTACCTCATTCCCAAATGATTATGGTTACATATTTTACAGGAGCATTAGAGAAATAAATAACATTATAGCGTTATTATCACTGTATGTGGTGCAGTAAAACACTCCGGACAGACTGCTGATGGTTATTATAATATGTATATATACATTTTTTTTTGACAATGAGGGACCACTGCACAGAGTGAACCAAAACTGTTTACACTTGTGCTAACAGGAACATCTGGATGTGCAGCAGTGACTGAAGAGAGGGTCACGGCTCCTCTGCCCGGGTCAGAGACAAATCTCCTCCCTTTCCCATGATTATAAAAAGGCAACACTAACGTGCGTGTGTGTGTGTGTGTGTGTGTGTGTGTGTGTGTGTGTGTGTGTGTGTGTGTGTGTGTGTGGAGTTTATCATGACTTCAATTCACTTTCCTCAAAGAAACACCACAAAAATCTCATGTCTGATCTCTCTGCATTTCTCCTGCTTTTCATATTATTATTATTATTTTTTTATTTTATTTTTTTTATTATTATTAATATTATTATTATTATTATAGCAAATAACGAACCGCTGAGAAATGAATATCTGTGTTTTCTCAGTAATGTGTGAAAGTCAGAAAATAAATAAATAAATCAATGCTGTTAGACAATATAACTTGGACAAAGCAGCGGCAGGGTGAGAGGACCAGCTGGCGGTCAGGCACGGTGGAGATGAGAGACCCATCAACCCTCCATACAACCACAGATGAATGAATAAATGAATGAATCTTTTTTTCATCTAGCTGTTATTCTGTCATGCAAAGAATACATTGTCCCGATCCAAACACAAAGCCACACTGACACCCCCCTCCCACCCCCACCCCCCCGCTGCAGGCACTTCAACATGCATATATTTACAAAAATGCCACTTACTGCATTGGACGCGCTAGTTGCTTGAGGATGATCGGTGTGTGCTAATGTGTGCGCTCAAACTCGGTTTGATTATATAACGAGTAATTAAATAAATAAGTCGTCCACTAAATCCGCGCAGCGCGACGGAAAACCCTGATGTGACGGTGTGAGGCTGCGAGTCTGCGCAGCTGGCGGAGATTCCGATGGCGTGATGCGACTCTCTCTCTCTCCCTCTGTGTGTGTGTGTGTGTGTGTGTGTGTGTGTGTGTGTGTGTGTGTGTGTGTGTGTGTGTGTGAAAATGACTTTCTTCATTCCTAGTCATGTGTGTAATCTGTTGGGGGAACATTGAGCTCAGTGTGGTGAAGCATTCTTTGTCTCTGCCATGATTTTTATGATGTTTATCATATGTTGCTCCTGATGCAGCTGTTCTATTATTAAGACTGTGTTATATGCCGGAGACTGGACCAGTAATGCTGTGAATTTTACATTTTTACCTTTATCTTTCATCACATACATCCAGGATACATCCCTGTTTATCCAGAGTCATAAAATATGAACCATTTGTGCAAAATGTGCTCATAGTTCCTGTGTGAAGTCTTGAGTAAAGGCTAAAGAGTGTTCTCTGAGGTCACTGTGACTTTGACCTTTGACCTTTAGCCACCAAAATCTAATCAGTTCATCCTTGAGTCCAAGTCAATGTTTGTGCCAAATTTGAAGAAATTCCTTCAAGGCGTTACTGAGATATCACATTGACAAAGCCAAAAACATGTTTTGTGAGGTCACCACCCCGGTGACCTTTGACCCCCAAATTCTAATCAGTTCATCCTTGAGTCCAAGTCAATGTTTGTGCCAAATTTGAAGAAGTTCCTTCAAGGTGTTTCTGAGATATCGTGTCCACGATAATGGGACAGAGACAACCTAAGTTATTTAATGGGCATTTTTGCCTTTATTGTGATGTCACAGTGAGAGAGAGAGGAAACTGAGGGAGAGAGAGAGAGAGGATGACATGCAGCAAAGGGCCAGGGGTCAGACTCGAACCCACGGCTTCTGTGGTTAGGACTAAGCCTATGTGGCGTGACGCACTCTACCAGGTGATCTTCTTTACATGGTAAATGATTTTATCGTATTCTTAATCCTGTCGGCAGCATCTCTGCAGGGACGGTCACATGCATCCCATCTTCTTCTGCTGATAAAACCTCTACAGCCTGACCTAGTTTCACAATACTCAGACAAAAATCAACGGGCCGTGCAGTTGTCACATGAAACTACATTTCTGATTGTACAACAAACACAAGTACTGTACGAGGGTATGAGCTGCAAGCCAACAGTGACGGACGCTAAGCGAGCAGCTCTGTCGTAAACAAGCGGGACTGTGTCCTTCACTGCCCCTCAAACTGTGGGATTTAAAGGCTAATCCGTTTTCATATACTTCCTATAATCACACACAACGACGCACTCTCAGATCACATCCACTCACGCTGATGATACGTCCTTTTACTGTGCGACAAAAGAGACAGAAAATATCAACATGTGCACAGACACCTGCAGTACATGTAACATTTAAAATAAAAAGCTAAGCTGAACAAATTTTGACTCCTACTGAAAAAAAAAGAAGAATGCTGCCATGTTATTGTAATTCTTGATGACACAAATGCATTAGACGTTTGACCCAAAACAAAAATGTCACTGCTTTATTTCTCTCACCTTTAAACACAGTGTTCATACAAGTTCTCATATCAGCAGGCAAAACATTTATTCATCATGACAGAGTTTTAAACAGAACCTACTGTGAGCCATTAAAGTCAGATCTAGTGATCTGTGTACGTCGGTCCATCACACTGAAGTCATTACAACATTGGTTCAAATATTTAAAGGGACAGTTCAGGTGTGTTGACGTGGGGTTGTGTGAGGTACCTACAGCAGTTTACTGCAGGTAATGCACTGACTGTATATGACTGCCTCACACAACCCCACGTTAAAACACCTGAACTGCCCCTTTAATGACTTCCTGCTTCTGTTCTTTTCATTTGAGGGTCAAACTCTCGTGTGAAATGCATCAGCTGAATGTGAAAGTTCTTCCACCTCTCTCTTATTAAATTTAAGGTCAGTTTTACATGTGAACATGAAGCTGGTATTGTGTTTCCTAAACAATCAGAGGTTACATCAGTCACTTCGACACCGACGGCGTCTTGGTTCAGAGAGCAGCTCCACTTTGTCCCGTGACTTCTGTGCTGAGACAAAAAGGTTTCTGTGTCTCCGGATGGATCGGTCCTGATGGTCCGTCTGTTCCCAACACAGCTCAACACCAAGAGCTAACTGTTCCACCATGACAGCAGCCCCAGCCCCGGCTCACAGATGGTCCCCTGAAACAACAGAACGGGGGGGGGGGTTACCTTTACTTTGGCCACAGATAAACTGTTGCACTCACAAAAAGCTCCCTGACTCTCCTGCTAGTGTTGATGCATCTCTTACCTTTATGAATCTACTGAGTCACGACAGCAACAGACAGTCGAGCTTCACACAGACCTCAACTACTGGATCTGTCTAATACCTGCAAATCACCTGTCTATAATACACAACCCCACCCATCTGTATGGAAGCCCCTTCCCTCCAAACCAGGAGAACGGAGAACCAGTGAGATGGACTTGTAGCATGGACTTTTCAAACCTTGTTTTGATTAACATTATAGCAGCTGTTTGATGATTATTTTATTGTTGCCCGGTTTCATGTTTATTCATGTTTGATTAGATTCCTCTGTGTGATACCTGAAAGTGAAGAGACGTGTGAATAAAGTAAGTGTAACGTCAGCTTCATTTACTTCAGTTTATTGTTGTGTGCTGACATTTGAAGTTGATATAATTGTACTTATTTTGCCTTTATGTATTTTAATCTCGTGCTGAGAAAATCCTCCTTCTCTCCATCCTTCCATCATGTGAACCACTGACCTCAGCGTCATGAACTAAAATCGTTAGAACGGCCACTGGATCCTGCTGCTGCTGCAACGCCTCCACCTTCATGTTTAGCACAACGAAGCTAAAGTCGTTAGCACTTCTCTCCCTTGTTTACAGTGAATTTTGAGCTAATTCTGCAGAACAATGATCGACAACTGGCAGTGCAGCAGGTCAGCAGCGACACGCCAGCTGTGGCAAAACATCTGGTGAAACAAAGGCACATGTCTCAGCTACATGTGGAGGAGGTTTGCTGTAGATTTTCCCACATTTTTTATTTGAGCAGATCTGCTGGTGATGTAAAGGTGTGTTCTTACAATCAGAGTGAACGGTGGCTCTTTCTTCTCCCTGCTGTCCTCTGCTGGCGGCGGCGCCGTGGACTGTCCCGGTTGAGTCGGTGTGTCCGTGGTTGCGGTGGCCGGGCCCGTCGGCGACGTATCCACAAACACTTCGTCTGTCACCCGAAAACGGATCTCCTCCCCTTGGTCCATGTAGAGGTCATGGGCCCCCTCGTCCGTCTCATACTCCCACAGCCAGACCTGCTCTGCTTCGTCACTGAGGCTGCAGCTAAGGAAGGCTCCACAACTACAGTCACGGTCAGTTCTGGTACAACATGATTCATTTAAAGGTGTTATGTGTAAGAATGTGACGACATGTACACGTATTCATCACTTTATTTTATGTCTGAACAGACTGTAACATAACCTAAACTAGAATCACCTCCTCGTGGTTGTATCTCTCCGCCACTCAGACTAGCTCTTGAAGTTGAGTTATGGCTAAAAAGTGTTTTCTGACGTCACCTTGACCTTTGACCCTTGACAACCAAAGTGTAATCACGTCGTTCTTGAGTCCAAATGAACGTTTGTGCAAAATCTGAAGGAATTCCCTTGAAGAGTTCTGGAGATATTGCATTCACAAGGCCAAAATTGTGGTTTGTGGGCTCACCACGCCTGTGAACTTTAACTTTAACCTTTGACCCCCAAAATCTAATCGGTTCATCCTCGAGTCCTAGTGAATATTTGCACCAAATTTGAAGAAGTTCAGTCAAGGCGTTATCGATATGGCGCCAGCACAGAGGAATAAAAATGAGACCTTCACTGACTTTCTTAGTTGCCCGTTAAAGCCTGTGACTGGAAAACAAAAGAGCCCGTCAGTCTGCAGATTTGTGGACCAGAGTCACTGATAACAAGGCTTCTCTCAGTGTTACACACAGAAACTTTAACATGTGATGCACAAATGTTTTGAGGCAAAGCTGCACTTCTGATGAAATCACAGCACTGAGGTCAGGATACAACTTTGCCGGCTGTTGAAGTGACTCTGGGGGAATGAGGATGTCATCAAAGAAGCCCATTGTGACTGGAACAGAGAGACACGGTGTGCGGTCAGTGTTTACCACATTACCATGAATGAATTAAGAAAACTGTTGTAGGAGGAAACAACAATGAGAATAAACATCAGCTGCAGATCTAATTTTCCTTTTTCAGGGTATTGAGAAGGAGTTAGACAGAACCTACCGTGAACTCCCTCCTGACTGCAGTACTTGATCTTGCCGACCAGGATCTCGTCGAGGAAGGGGTGAAAAACAACATACCTGAAATGAACTGACAGAAACACAGAAGGAAGACGGGGCTCAAAGTGAGTAAAAGCACAACTGATATCAAGTGTTATTTCTATTTTCCGATAAGGAAACAGCAGCAATATTTTCCGCGTCTATATCATCATTTCCTTCAGGAACATTTCTCCATCATGATGAAAGTAGGTGAGTTAGTCCCCCCACCCCGCCGCTCTGATCTGTGTGTAACGGTGTTTCTGTGAGGACGTCCTCAACCTGACGGTGCATGATGCAGGTGTACGGGGAGATGTAAGAGCTATGTCATCACCGCCCTCATACCTTTGGTGTGCGAGGCTCCGTCCCCCGGGAATATATAGGAATCCTCCAGTTTAGTGATGTCGTACAAGCAGATGCAGAGGCCAACATTGTAAACCACCTGCAAAGACGCTGACAGTTCAGTTCAGTATTGCACAATAACTCTCATTTGATTCTCACAACATCAGTCTCAGAAAGAGCCTTTAAACACAAATCACTTCATATTGTCAGTAATCACCACAATAGAAATGTATTTCTCTCATTTTGTTTACTGTTAAAATGTTGTAATGTGTGCGGGTCTGTACATTTAATGACGTACAAGTAATTGAAATACTCAATACATTTAATTTAATATATTAGTATATCTCTAATTTGTACGGAAGAGGTTAAGGACCACATGTGCAAGTTTAAATCAGAATTTGGACTTTCTAAAAAAAAATATATATATATATATATAATCACATTTAGGCCACATGTGAATTTTATTATCTTTAATAATATAATTTTGATTTTAAACTCAAAATTCTCACTGTCTAGAAAAAAATAAAAAATAAAAAAATCACATTAGGGCCACATGTGAAATGTCTTTTTTCAGAATTCTTCTTCTGTATATTTGCGGAAGACAAAGAACAAAAAACTTATGCAATGAAGTACAATCAATAATGACTGGACTGTGTTTGACAGCTATTACATTGATTAGACAGGAAAAATAATTGTTAATTCTCATTTAGTAATGATCTGATAAACTAGATGCTTTTGCCAAACTTGATAGTTTCCCTCTATCTGTTCTCCCGTGTCTCTCTCTCTCTCTCTCTCTCTCTCTCTCTCATCAAAGTTTTCCTGGACCATCAGTCGTCCTGGCACCTTCATGAATTTCATGGTTTTCATGGTAGAGAGGAGGTCATGTGACTCATGCCACACCTCTAAGTTGTTTGGATCCATGTTCCTTATAAATTCATATATATTCATATACATGTTCAGTGATTCATCTATAGTCATTTCTGTCTACAGCGTATACAAGTCTGATAAGGAGGGATTCCTTTCTTCCCCAGTTAAAGTTTTTCTTCTCACTGTGAGTCAAAGGTCTGAGGATAGAGGACATCAGGTGTTGTGCAGTTTGTAAAGGCAGATTTATGATTCATGAATATACAACAATTAAAATGTCATTTTAAAAAGTTTGGCTGGCAACAAGAAGAAAACTACAATCTTTTCACTAAAGCTGCATCATCACACATCTCTCGAGTTTTAAACTACTGTTGAAGGCTGAACTTGGGAACTTCTTTACACCATATAAATAGAATGAATTACCGAGCACTTGAACGTCTCATCTTACTGAAAGACTTTAAACGTTTCATTTTGGCCTTTGTAAAGGAGTCTATGACAGTAACTGATGTTTGTATGTTTAGTGTCCTGCCTCTTTATTATTTCTGCTGCACTCAGGTCAGTGTTGGTGTTGATGGAAGTTTTTCTCACCGACAGTGAAACACACCTTGTTGGCCAGTTTCTTGTTGAGCTCCTCGGCGATAGCTTCGTTCAGTTGTCTCTGGAAGTTCCACGGAGGGATCCTGACCGTGTCGACCATCTCCACCAACACGAACATGATGCAGCCCGTCAGCAGGTACTCTCTCCCTCACACACACACACACACATACATAAACACACACACACACACCACCTGTGGTCCAACAACCGGCAGAGCTGTCAGTCTTTTATTCTCATGAAGCATTTACTGTTTTTCTTCTCTATAAACAACCAGAGCGGAGAGGAAACAACATCAACAGCTGCTCATAACGAAGCTAACGAAGCCACAGAAAGTATTTTCATCTGCAGCAACTCTGAAGCATCCATGTTGTCTCCATGTGATTATTTACGACAGTGGGCTTTTTACGACATGTCGCAAAACTTAAAGGTACAGTGCACATTTTTAATGTTGACCTTGTTCTAATTTTTTTTCTCTTTTTGCCCTAATGTGCAATTTTTATTTTCATATAGCAGTATTAAAAAATAATAGAACACAATATAATATAATACCATATAATGTAATATAATATAATGCATATTCTGGTATTTTATGTTAAAGAACATAAAATACCATAAAATGTTCTCTGTGATCAAAAAGCCATATCTGTCTGTAATACTAACAATCCCTTTGTTTATCATATTTTTCTACATTGTTTAAATATAAATAAATAATTGCACACTACGCTAATATAACATAACACAATATAATACATATTCTGGTATTTTGTTTTCTTAAAGAAATTTAAACTTTATATTCTCTGTGATCAAAAAGCCTTTAAAAAGCTTATCTGTCTGTAACACTAACAATCCCTTTAAGTTGTTTATATTTTTTCTACATTGTTTAAATATAAATAAATACTTGCACACTACACACTTCAGTACTAAACTCACTTTTAGTCCTCTTCACTGATAAATAAACACTACAGTTGGAGTATGACCATACTGCAACTCTATAAATATACACAATGATAATGCCAGATGGCATGCTGCACATACAGCTACGTTAACATTTCTTAGTTCTCAGTTTTGAATGTGAAAGTGGGCGGTGAACATTACCGAATAAACAGAGGGATGATATAATGTCAGAGAATGTACTGACTTCATATCAGATCAATAACCAACTTTAATTAAAGCCAATTCTTCTTCAGATGCTTGAGGTCATTTACATCACAACACTGGCAATCACATTTTCTTATGATCAGAGAAAAACACAAAAACATTCACTTCAGAATTTTATCTTTATTAATTTACCATTTATCTCATAAATGTCACAATATTTTTAAATCTCGCAAGCTACAAAACTGCAGGCATCATCATTGAATCTTTTACTTTTACAAAAATCACGCTTAATGCTGAAACAGGAGTGTGAGGGGAACCATCACTATGAAATAACATCTGCTCATATTCCATTTCTATTTACACAACGCCTTCATGAACATTTGGTTTGTCGGTTTACAGTAGCACTGTTCAAACTGAACCAGTGAACATTTTACTTCACAGTATAAGCAGCTGTTAAATGCGCTGACAGAAGAAAGATGATGATTGAATTATTCAATATTTTTGAAGATCCTGGTGAATTCTGTCAGGAACAAAACCCTGTATGTAATCAAGTAATAATGGACATGGTGATATTTTTGAAATGTCACATGAAGATGGATGATTGATTCAAACACAACTCCTTGGTAACTATTATTTCTTAATAATTTCATTAGGCATCTTTGGCAGTAAATCTGATACACTGATCAGGAGTGTTTAAGCATCAGTAAGATGAGCTCAGTGAGGGCAGGAAACAATTTTTTGTGATGATTCTCAAAGTGTTGAGCAGTTGAATTTTATCAACAGCTAAACATATAAAGAGTCATTTATGTGCAAAACGTCGTTAAAGTTGGGCTGCTGCATGTTCACCTCCTGTCAAAGCCCAGCAGCAACCGACAGCCACAATCCAGTACCTGTGCTTTTCATTCATCGACTGGTCTGTGAAGCCATTAATCAGTTTAATAAAGACTGCAGAGGGGTCTCTATATCATGACTCTGGGCAGCATACAGCATGTTACTCCCTCCCTCTCTCTCTGTTTGTTTACATATATATATATATACCTGTATATAATGATTATTATTTATGTACACATCCCTATACAAAGTGCAGCTATACAGCAAATCATTTACACACTGATCCAAACCTAGTGACTTTTTTAGTACATATGGATTTACCTCAGGAACTGTATTAATCCAAAAGGTTTTTACTTGTGCGACAGCAGATTGAAGAAGTGACGGGTTTAACTCTGCATGAGGAGGAGAACTAAACACAGAGGAGCAGAATTACTCCCACATAAAACACAGCAGAAAATATCCCTAAGCTCAAAAAAAATATATAACCACAATGTTTCAGTGGCGCACACTACATCATGGCGAGACTCTGGTTTAGAACGATCTTCAATCTAGATCTTCCTACCAACTGAACATATGTGTCTCAATAATGAATATCACAAGTTGTATGTCAGTCACCACAGACATGTACGCTGAACGAGGACGATGTTTTGCAGAGGAAACACGACGCATAGCGAAAGCACACCTAAAAGCTACTTCTCTAACTCTACAAAGTGCTAGTGTACAGGCAACTGGACACTAGGATTGTGCGTTAGTTTGTGTAAGAAGACCTCACGCCTTCCCGAGCTGTGGAGGACCAAACCTCAACCTGATTACAACAAAACGAAACATTCAGCTCAAAGACAAACACAGTCTGCCATCTCCCATTACAGCTACACCAGGCAATTTCACACACTGGCAGCTGCAGTAACTGAGAAACTGGGAGTTTAACACAGAGAAACCACAACAACATAATGAGCCGGATGACCGAGTGACCTGGGAAGCTCATTTCACTGGGATGTAGATCTACTCTACAAGTGTGGAGGTTTCTCTGGTCACAGCGTGATTGCAGCTGTGTAGAAGTATAAGGAGTTTTCATTAAACTGTTGCTGCTTTTTTCCAACGGGCTTCACTAGAATTCACATTAAAATCTTGCCCAGTGCAGCTTTACTGTCCGTCAACACAAAGCTGAAGACAGCCTATCAAACCAAACATCAGGTTGTGGTCTGGACCGCATGGGCCGGCCTGGTGGATACAAAGAGAGGCAGCAGGAGCAAAGAGGGACAGACAGTTGAAACACAGACCGATGTTAACCTCAAGAACAAAGTCATGCATCTCTTTCACACGCACGCACACACACACACGCACACACACACACGCACACATACACACAACAAACCACAAATGGAAAGAAAAAAAAAAAAATGGCCAGGCTTGTGCAAACACAACAGCACTCTGTGTTCTGGTTTGTTGTCCCAAGTCAGAGGGAGAGAGAGAGACAACCACACAGAAACCTTTTCACACAATGGGGTGTTATATCATGCAAAAAGACAGAAAACAAGCAAGTGAGCATAAGAAGAACAGCAGGGGTGGAGGTGGGGGGGTGGGGGGTGAAAATGCAACAATAGCAGCATGAAAACTCAATATCTCAGACCGAATGAGAGCAGGGTGAGCTGCCATTGATGGGATTTCACTGGTGCTGCTTACAGTAAGTTTGTTTGTTCACAGTGAGGCTCTAATCAACAATGACTGAGACCAGAAAGCAGAAAACCCTGAAGTTCTGAACTTCAGGTGACACATCTGGAGAGAATCAGGGGAAAGAAAAATTCATACATTCGTGTGAGTTGAACAACTCAGTCAGCTTATTGAGCTGTTTGGATGGAACGACATTAAAGAGGAGGTATAATGGAGAACAACAACTGTCTGGTCCTGGGGTGGATTTTGCAGTTAAAGATATAAAACCTTTTTAAACAATATTCTGTATGAAACAGGTTTGCGTACTGCTAGATACAGTACAGCTGATGCTTCGAACGAGCCTCTTTCTGCAGAGGCGAGTTTGGAACGACGTTCGGTGAAATCAAACGACTATCAGAGAGATACAGCAGTGATGCCGATGTGTCACAAAGGTAGGAAAGCACCACCCTGTTCGGTGGACACAGATGAGACGGTCAGCTGAGTGCTACATGAACAAATAAGCTGCTAATACGAACGACACAGTGTAACAGACACACACACTGCTGAGCTTCGTTATGTGCGCTTGTTTGAGTGCATTTGTGCAAGTCTGCCTGTCGACCGGGAGTGCTGTCACAGTAATCCTGTCAGTTTGTACATGCTCGTGAGAGAGTGAGTGTGTATGTGTGTGTGTGTGTGCGCTTTTCATCTGTACATCGACCTTGTGTGTGTGTGTGTGTGTGTGTGTGTGCGTTTGTGTTCTTTCTTTAACTGAGCATGGTTGCAGCTGTTCCTCTCGTCTCTCCCTCTTTGCGAAGCCCCTCTCTAGGCCCATGTTCCTCCCCTTCTTAACCCACGCCAAGGCCCCTCACTGGCCCCTACAGGCCCCCGCCTTCCTCCTCGCCACCATCTACTGCAGCTCCTTCATCCTGTTGAGGGCGGAGCCAGCCTTGAACCACTCGATCTGTGTCTCATTGAAGGTGTGGTTCAGAGAGATGGGCTTCTGGCTGCCGTCGCTGTGTTTGATCACTGCTGTCAGCGGCTGGAGAGACACGCAGGAGCAAACATGAATCATGTGTCAATCATTCATCCGGTTTTTCTTTAGCATAATGTTAGGAGAGGCTGGGCTGTCCTTTGGATCAATCAATTATTTATTTATTCATTTTTAATTGAGATGTTTTATTATAGGCACTTGTATTTACATATTTCTATTTTCTGGTCCACAAACTATACCCAACAAATAAATCATCATGTTTTATGAAAAGTCAACATACAACATTAACGCATCAATCGTTATAATCCAAAGATAGAACTCAGTGTTTTTCATGAACGATATCAGAAACTGTCAGACCAGTTATTTCCTTTTTCTAACGTCTCATTATTTAGTTCTTGTGATTTAGTAATTGGTTTATTGATATTATATCTTGTGTTGTGTATGTGTCTCCCCCAGGCTTCATGTTCTGTTCTCATGTTCATGCTTTGATCATTGTTTTGTAAAACAGAATAAAAAACAATAGTGTAATAAAATAAATAATTATGACATGAGAACTTTTACTTTTGTTACTTTAAGAAAATTTTGATGCTGATAGTTTTTGCTTTTACTTTACTCAGTGTGTCATTAGTGCAGAATGTTGCTCACCTTGCCGGGGGCGAGGGATTTCAGGCCAGTGATTGAAATCGTGTCGTCTGGGCGGATTTTGTCGTAGTCCTGGGGGTCGGCAAAAGTCAGAGGCAGCAGCCCCTGCTTCTTCAGGTTCGTCTCTGTGAGGAAGAAACGATGGAAGAATAAGGGATTCATACTGTATTTCCATCAGGTAACCAGAGAACGGTTCTCTGTCTGACAGGAGAGTATCTGTTTCACATTAATACAAGACCATGGTGAATCATGAGTGTCTCAATCTTATTGATTAGCAGCTGTTCTCATGATGAATCAGTTCACACTAAATCCATGTTGTTGGAAATCTTTCCCGCCCAAAGACCAAGTGATGTTGAAGCTATATTGTTTGTGTTTTCTGTCAGTTCTGAGGAAATCTTCTCACACAAATCAAATCAAAGAAACTTTCCTCTGAACAGAAAGACTTTCATCTACTCGTTTACCTGCATCCAGCCTCCCATATGCAAAAAAACTGGCACTAATGGACTGTAATTACAACTTGGAGACTCTCTTAGACATCGTTAGTCTGGCAGACTGTAAACATGCCAGACTCAATTATTATCAGTTTTCCCTGGAAGCCAGTTACAACTATTAAGATACAGTTTCCCTGTTGCCTCTAACTTTCATAAAGAAACAGTTTGAGTATAAACATACCTCGGATGGATGCTTGTTTTTTCTGAAACTTACCGTGGATTCTGGCAAAGCTCTTGACGATGATGGCGCGTCCTCCCAGGTGTCGTGGCTCCAGGGCAGCATGCTCTCTGCTGGACCCTTCTCCATAGTTCTCATCTCCAACCACCACCCAGTTCACTCCTTTGGCCTGGATTATCAAGACAACAAAGATCAAGGAAGAATTTAAACTGCCGTCAGGAGAAGACAGAGTCGACTAATAAAGGCAACAACAAGGCAATTCAAAGTGCTGTGCATAAGACAAAGACAAATAAACAGGAAATTGAGGAACTGGTTGAAGTGAAAATGCAACACAAAAAATAATTCTCTTTTAGTCCCTGAATCACCCGGGGAATGTACAACAATTAATTAATCAACACGATTCCCTGTCAAACTCACCTTGTAGTGGCGGGCCACATCTGGCACACCTCCGTACTCTCCTGTCAGCTGGTTCTTAACCTTGTTGACGGCGTCGTTCTCGATGTTGACGGCGCCGATCAGCAGATTGTTGGAGATGTTGTCCAGATGGCCGCGGAATTTGAGCCAGGGGCCGGCGGCACTGATGTGGTCAGTGGTGCACTTTCCCTTCACCTACAGCAGCAGAAGATGCAGAAGTTTTCAAATTCTCTTCCCTGTCTCTCAGCCAGGAGTCTAAACTTTACAACTGAAGACATAAATCTTTAATGAAACTGGCCACATATATATATATAGTTTCATTAAAAATAAGTTAATTTATTCAATTAAACAGCTGGGCGCTGCAGTTCTTAGCAAACATTAGTTGAAAAAGTAAAGAGCATTTATTAGGGACTATTTTCAGCTGCAAATTAATCCACATTTGGTGCACTGAGTATTTTCAGGAGCAGGACTGTGTATGTGTGTATGTGACTGGTGCAATTTTCCTTCTTTTGTAAAGCAGGGTGACCAGATATTCCCGGATAGTCCCCAGTTGGAGCTGTCCCCAAAAATGCCCCCATTTTTAACACTTGTAATTCAAAACAGACGTCTAGCGTTGAGCTTGTTTTGTCCAACAGAGGGGGCTGGCTGCTAGCTATAGCATCTTCAGAAGTAAAGCTACAACCATCAAAATGGAGTTATCCAATTAGATTTTTCTTTTTTAGTTGTTGTCTTTAGGCAACAAAAGGTTAGCTGGCTCAATCATTGGTTAGGAGTTCATAACCGAGCAGTAAACTAACAAAAACAACTTCAACTTCAAACAAACTTCATGACTGCTTCAAAGGTAGGGAGTCGTAATTTCATCAGTCAGCCTTCACAATTATTTATTACAAACAACAGTTACTGTGGTCAAAATACACGACTTCCCCCCTTTACTCATGGGTAAAAAACGTTGGATATCTTAATGATATATTGACCACTGAACTGTTAATGTCCCCCGGCTTTCATCTCAGATTTCTTTAATCACAACTTTCCCTCCATGTCCTGCTCACCTTGATGAGGACCCTCATGTCTTCCAGGTCTTTTCCGTGCCACTTGTCAAAGGGCTCCAGCAGCTGCAGACGGTTGCTGGAGGGGCTCACGTCCACCTGAACAACATCAAGGAAGGGTGAGACATAAAGGTCCTTCCAGGTATATTAACAAGTGAAGACCAATACCAATACAGATTTTCTGTCTAAACGACTGTCACATTACACCTTTGTGTTTTCACAAGCCTCGATCATTCTGTTAGTTCACACGTACTGAAAGTCTGTTGTCGTTAGCGTTGTGCTGCTTTCTAGATGGTCAAGTGTTGATACTGTATTTTTAAAATAGAATCACCTTGACTGAGCTGCTCTCATTCGGGGGGTGCTGGTAGGTGTCCTGGCCCGGGTCGAAGTCTCTGGACGGGAGCTCGTCACCACTGGGGGGTTCCAGCTTGAACTTGTCTCCATTGGGAGCGGTCAGGTAGTCAGTCTCAGGGTTGAAGTTGAGGGTACCGGCCAGGGCCATGGCAGTGACTATCTACAATGAATTACACAACAATTATCCAACAGTAGCCGTGAAATGTACATTTAGATGCCGACCGTCAAGAGAACTGCACTGACACACAGTGAAGTGTGTTTATGAGCTTCTGTGATTCTGTGTATTGATGCCCATGTAATTATGAAGTGCTGGGCTTGTGTTTTGCTTCTTACTTCAGGAGAGGTGACAAAAGCGTGAGTCGCTGGGTTAGCATCATTCCTGGCAGTGAAGTTCCTGTTGAAGGATGTGACGATGGTATTCTTCTCTCCTTTTTTCACGTCCTTCCTGAAGAGAGAAAAAAAAAAACATGGGGCACGTTAGTGTGATACTTTTCATTTCAGCATTTGCAGCATGTGTTGTCAAACTGATGAAGATGTTTTCTGAATTTGTTGTTGATTTGCACGTGTTTTCTTAAGTTGCAGTAAGTGGAGCTCTCAGGGCAACTGTAAATTTCTGCTCTTCAGACTTCACTCTATACGTTTATACTGTGTGCACCTGTTTCTAATCGGCTCTAAAGCGTCGTTGTTAATTCCTTACTTCCTTAAACATTCATTATATCCAACAATATTAAAGCGTTGTCTTGGAACACAAATGTGCTAAACAGACCGAGATACTTTTATGTAAACGTGTCACTTTGGCCTCTGATTGATTTAAGAGCAAAGTTTATCATGTGTCCACAATGGGAATAGTTCTGATGAACAGTGTTCATCCCCTGGGGATCATGAATACTCTCAGTACTGGAAATCCAGTTTTCAAAAGTCCTTTTCATTACCAGTGTTGCTAAAGGATATTGATCTGTTGGTCCTGCTCACAACTGACAAACTACTGGGATCTAATATTCAAGTTCCTCTCAGAATCATTAAATCTGAATCTTCAACCCAAATGCTTTGAAGTGCATCTGTGGTGTTCAAAGAGCCAACATTAAATAATAAACATAAAAATGTAATTGCTTTCTCAACTCTTTTGGCATGTAGGAGAATCCTGATGGAGTTGAAATCCCCCCCGCTCCCCGAGCTCTTCTATGTGGCGGGGGGATCGGAAATCTTTTCTAAAATTAGAGAAAATAAAGTTCTTGCTCCGGGGGTCACCCTGAGAAATTCAAATCTACTTGGGGTCCGATTATATAATACTTTGATAAGCTGAAAACTCTCTATAGATTTGTAATTTTGTTTGTCTCTGGGTCTCAACTAAATGTCCTCTTTTTTAAAACATTTAAAACAAAATTAAAATTTCTTTCTTAACATATCCTCCTGTGGTGTATTACTCTTTGTATACTCCATATTTGAGGTACTGATACTGTGAAGTGTTTCTTTGGAGGCAGTGTGATTTGTTCGCTGTTTGGGGGAACTGATGGGGGAATTATCAAGGGGACAAAATGTATAAATACATAATTGTGTTACTGTGCCCTTTGTGTTCTTCAGAATAAACATAAAATGCCAAAAAAAAGGATATTGATCTGAAAGTGTTGCTAAATGTCAGTAATGTCAGAAATCATCATCTGGGGAACATTCAACAAGGTTTCATGGATATCTGGCCAGTGGTTGTCAAAATATTTTGCCCTGTGCCCAAGTGTTAGCAGACTGAGCAACTGTCATGACCTTGATGCTAGTGAGGCAAAATCAGCTTTAAGAAATGAGGTGTATACCTGTCCCACTGTCCGATGCAGGGTCCACAAGCATTGGCAAGTACAACTCCACCAACATCACTCAGGATCTTGGCCTGGAAGAGGGACAACATGATTTTAAAGAAATCATTTCCTGCATCCAGAGTCTCATGAAAAAAGAAAAAAAGAAACTGCCCAAATGCAAGAGGTCACTCTAAATTTAACTATGAGTTCATTTTGGTGAGATTCAAACTCACATATCCGTCCCTCTCGATAGTGGCGCGGATCTGTTCAGACCCAGGGGTGACTGTGAACTGGGCCTTGCACTTCAGACCTTTATCCAGAGCCTGTTTGGCCAGAGAGGCCGCTCTGCCCATGTCCTCGTAGCTGGAGTTGGTGCAGCTGCCGATCAGACCTGCAAGAGTCAAGTTCAACGTTTGTAAGAGGAGAAAGAGGAAAACCAACAGGAGGGAGGATACAGTTACAGTGGTCGACTGGAAGTACTCATGTATTTTTAATAACGCATCGTGTGTGTGAAACGTGAGGAAAATTGTTGAAGAGGAGAAAAGTGAAAAGACAAGCAAGACTGTAATTATACATCTTGATCATCATAATAAGACTCTGTCAGTGACTGGAATTCTACTGCATTCACTCAGTACTGTGAGAAGACCATCAGCTACATGACAGAGGTGTCATGTGACAGAGGTGTCATGTGATCTGAACATATCTGGTCAATAGCACAGCTAGTGCTATAACAAAGAAAGAAATATCACATTTCACTGGACAAAGCATTAAAAATATTAAGTCACAAATACATACCAACTTTAACCTCCAGGGGCCAGCCGCTCTTCTTAGCTATGGCCCCGATCTCGGACACAGGGTGGGCCAGGTCGGGGGTGAACGGTCCGTTGATGTGGGGCTTCAACTGTTAGAGGAGGGAAACAAGGCAGAGCGAAGGACGGTCTTAATTTGGTTAATGTGGGACATGTTTGTCTATGCTATAAATATTGTTTTCTAAATTTGGAAACTTTAAAAAGAGGAACACTCATAAGCGCTGATGCTGCCTCATGCACCATCACAGCCACATGATACAGAACGAGACAAAGCAAAAGTCGATGACTAAATGAGAAGCGGATGCTTTAGTTTTTAAAATCATCTCAAGGAAGCTTTTACTCAACTTAAGCAACATTTTGTAGGTCAGTGATACTTAATGATGTCTGTACATTTTTGCTTCAGTACCCTGGTGCTCGCTAATGAATAAGCAGGCTGCTGAAATACTTGTCTTAATCAAATGAACATATTTGTTTGACAGCAAGGTGCTCCAAAATCCAAACACGGGCTGACGCAACAATGACACAATAATAACACATAGCCTCACACCATGTATTATGGTGGTAGGACGTAGTGTATTCACATTGGAAAAGTGACAAAATAAAGTATAGTCAAATCAGACAGCACGCTGCTTTAGCAGTTAAATACAGTTCATTTTTTGAGTGTGCTGTTGATGCATGTTATTCTCCCACAATGCAAAGCACAAAGGAAGCTGCTCACAGCTGGAAAACATTAAACTCATTTGTGGGAGGTGGTGAAGCAGCTCAAGAAAAACATTGGAAAATTTGTAATGATTAGTATTCATTTATTTACCATATCTTTGGGAAATCTGATTGGCTTTGGATACTGTCACATATTTTATCACTTCCTGTTAGTAAAAAAATGTAAAATTTGTTTATTATTTGGTATGCTAACTGCCAAAACACTATACTATGACAATTAGCTTACAGCACATACTATAAAGTATTAGTATGAAGTATAGATTTGGGATGTGCCAATAATAAATGTTGTGCATTAGATGACGAATGTCAGGAAAAAAGAGTGGACTCACCTCGCTCAGGTTAATCTCAATGACCTGGTCGTATTCACAACCCTTATCTGGGACCAAGTCATCCTTGAACTGATCAGCCACAGAGGCAATCTCTGAGAGGGAATGAGGACAGAGACAAAGTTGAAGGTAAGACACACTGAATACAGACGAAGCAAACGGAGACAGACGGTAAGGGACTGACCTCCACGGCCGGTTTTCTCCATGTACGTCTTCATGCGGTGGTTGTAGGGGAAAACAGACGTAGTGGCTCCAATCTCAGCGCCCATGTTACAGATAGTCGCCATTCCTAAAAATCAAAGTGTCATGGGAACCACAGAGTAAATTACACTTCCCCAAAGTTAAAGAAATGTATTATTTCTTCAAGTCTTGTGATGCATCTCATCCTTACCAGTGCAGGAGATGGAGTCAACTCCAGGTCCATGATACTCCACGATGGCTCCAGTGCCGCCCTTCACAGTCAGGATGCCCGCCACCTTCAGGATGACGTCCTTGGGAGAGGTCCAGCCAGAGAGGGTGCCTGTCAGCCTCACTCCAATCACCTGAAGGAGGAAAAACACACCGGTTTACACAAAAGAAAGAACAAACAGATAACAGACATTTGTGGAGACATTTAGTGGTTGAAAACAGGGCAGACACATTCAAATCAATTTACAAGATATCAGACGATGCCAAGAACTCACTTTGGGACACTTGAGCTCCCAAGGGATTCCAGCCATGACATCCACAGCATCAGCTCCACCCACTCCAATGCAGATGGCACCCAGGCCACCGCCATTGGGAGTGTGGGAGTCTGTACCAATCAGCATCACTCCAGGATAGGCATAGTTCTCCAGGATGATCTGGTCAAAGAAAGAGACATTTCACAGTCAGTCACACATTTTCCTCCGCTGACTTTAAACATTTTTGACTGCTATTTAAGATGCGTCACATTTCTGGGAATGTCAGTTTTCTCAAAGCACTAGACAAGAGGTTATAGTCACTGCTCTGGCACCAATACTTTCAGGAAGGAACAAGCTGATTCAGTGCTGACAGTGTGCGATTATCAAGGAATGTTTGTGTAATTATTCTCTACACACTGTGAGGTGTTACTGAAGTCAGAGAAGCCATTAATAGCATCATTATAAATCAGTGATCTTTACCTGATGGATGATCCCTGAGCCTGGTTTCCAGAAGCCAACTCCGTATTTGGCCGCAGCAGTTGCAAGGAAGTTGTACACCTCCTGGTTGACCTCCTGTGTTAGGAGTATTTAGGGAGGAGTTAGGGCTTCTGTGGAGGTTATTGTCATGTAACTATAAAAGCACTTAATACTAAATCCTGTTATTCAACATGACCTCCAGGCATGTAAACAGACATTTTGATCAAACCTTCTGATTTTATCTATTGAACCCACAGAAAACTGTTCACAGCTGCTGCCTCCGCAACATGACTCCTCGCTGGATGAGAATAAAACGCTGCCCAAACAATGTTAAAATCCTCTAACAATTGCCTGAATTTACATATTTATACTGTTAGTTAAATATATACTGCAACGTGCAACTGCACTGTATAAACGCTACTCATAATAGAATTTGGCTCTTGTTTCACTCGTCGCGTTAACTGACAAAACCTCATAATAAAGAGAGGCAAAAGCCAGAGGAGAAACTGATGAAGCTGTAGAGTCTCTCCATAACTGCATCTTGCCAACACATTAATGGGATGTTATGAAGTCGGTATCAGATGCACACACATATCATTGATATGAACCAGCTGTAGACAACTTCTCAATTTTTAAACTTTCTGAATCTGTTAACATAGAAAAAACAGGTTCCTGCAACATTTTAATAATCAAAACCAACAGTTTTTAAGCTCCTAATAAATTAAGATTAAGACCGAACAATGCCGAATGATTTCTTTTACTCAGACTTTTGTTTTTGCCCTCTTGTAAACGATTTTTTAAATAGAGGCGGAGTAGAAAATTCAGATGTAAACACCTGCAGCAGCACATGTATTAAAGCACCAAACCATTCATTTTCCATGTTGGTAGAAATAACTATTACTTCCTATTACTGCTAAACATTTTCTAAATCCTACGACAGAATTTCAGATTCATTTTTAAGATAATCAGAGGGAAAATAACATGTTCTTAATGTTTAGTAGTGCAGACCTTTTAGCCCTCATCACTATGCACAATGACCTTTCCTTCATCTAATTATCTACCTGCGAACCATAGACTGTAGATTTATGCCAAACTACCAGGTTAGCGCCCCCTAGTGCGTCGATAGAACCACATCTTAAAAACAAACGTGTGTCTGTTAAAGCGACAACAGAGTGGAACAAGTGACATGAAAAAGGAGCACCATCATTATTATTGCCTTTGTTTTTTTCTACCAGTCTTAAACACACTATCTGCAAATTTAATACCTACAATAAACTTATGGTAAATATAAGACATTTTCAGACCTTATTTTCCTTTAGTTTAATTTCAGACTTTTTAATGACCCACAGGAACAGTGAATAAGCTTTCCAGATCATGTGACATAACTCTTGAGACTGTATCTAATCTGATTACAAAGCAAAACAGAGGCCAGTGGCAGAGCAGGCAGGCACATTAACATGTACCTTGTCAGATGAAAATAATAATAAAAAGGCATTTTCTTCTCCTGGCGATTTGCAACCAATGACTGTACCATAAAAATATATGCATCATAAATATAATACTGCTCACCTTAGCCCTCTGCAGGTCCTCAGCCCCCCCGATCTGAGCCTCGATCAGGTGATCACAGTGGATGGTGGAGGGGACAGCCACCCTGGGCAGACCGCTGCTGATGAACTGAAGCATTGCCATCTGAGCTGTAGCATCCTGCATAGCCACACGGCCCGGACGCAGGCGCAGATATGTACGCCCGCGGTCGATCTCCTGCCCGGCTGGATCGTCCAAGTGACCGTACACGATCTTCTCCGACAGAGTGAGAGGCCTGCTGAGCCTGGTGGGGTGGGTTGGATTTGTAGAATCAGATAAACCATATTTTCCCTTGAGAATGTTTGATTTTACTGAGAAATGGAATAAATAAATAAAATGTATCAATAAACTCTAACAAACTACTTCTGGTTACAAAGAATTAAGGAAAACCCTGAACACCAGAGGTAACTGTGGCTTATCAAGGCAGCAAATATTTAGGTCTGACTGTTCCTTTAATAGTCAGTGAGACAAAAGGCTTTTCCTGTTCCTGGATTACAGCATGTGGTCAACTAAGCAAGAGGGGAACACCAGGTCATCCAAACTTAGCTCCTGGGCCCTGCTGGCTCTGACAAGTCAACACTGTAAATGTCATGAGATTTACTGTGTAGCTGTAATAAACACCAGCCATTCCTCATGAGCCAAACTGTAATCAGCACGGACTCTGTGTATGTGTACTTCTGAGAAGGGCAACTGCTGCTGACCTCCTGCGCACAATGTCGATGTTGTCGTGCATCTTCTCATAGTTAATGCTGGAGCCGGGCTCAAAGCGGCTCATGGCCACCTTGGCTTTGGCGCTAAAGACTGCAGAGACATGAAAACGCTTCGCCCCGGTTCCAAGGGCCAGCTAGACCAGAGGAAGAAGAAAACAATTCAGAGAAAAACCCTTATAAACAAAGTTTTATTGTAGCGTTCAGGACCAACATATGCAGTTCTGAGTTAGATAATAACTATGGAGTGGAACGAGAGGCAATTAAATGACACATGACCGGGGACCAAAGCAGGTGGGTCTAGTTAAAACACTAGACACTGAGCAAGGGGCACAACAGAAAGACTAAAGATGACTCAACAAACAAAGCATACATTAATTAATCAGTAATTGCTAACACTGTTCTCCAATGACAACAGGCTTTCAAAAACCTGCTAGAACAATTCCAGACAGACAATTATCTCTTTATAGACATAAAAACCTTTCTCTGAATAACTTTAATCTACTTGAACTGTGAAATCTGCTGTTGTATTATGTAGAAGAATACATCATATACACAAAGATTACATTGATTATCTGGCAGAAACTCAATACTGGACTGAGTATTAGAAAATTTAATCAGGACACTGCTTCAGGCTTTTGAGGAATTTTTATTGGTTGATGTCTTTTGTCGCTGCCAGCAAAGTAAGCCATTACAGTGCTGGCTTTAAACCTTTCATGCCAGTGGATGATCCTGTGATATACACTAGAAGGGTAATCTTTAAACCAGCTACGACGAGTTGCTTAATATCTTCCTTTAGTGTTGATATTCAGTGGAAAGTCACTGTGCTCAAAGAAAAGTGGGTGAAAGTTTATACAGCTCATATTTCAGAGGTTAGCCTCCCCCACTGGACTATTACGGACAGTGTGATCCTCTGAGTGGATTCAACTGTCTCCTCAACTATGTATGAGCACTAGAGGTACACACACACACACAGTCTGTAAAATCAGTATTGGTTCCATTACAGCACCTTAATGTCGGTACTTGTCATCAGCAAATTAACTTTTTGATTCAGAGTCCATGAAAGATATATTTAATGGCATGCACTTTGTATACAAATGTTATGATATGCTGTTAAGGATAGTCTTCTGTGAGTAAATGATTATCCCTAAGTCACGTGTAATGTGTGTATTTCATCAACAGAAACAATTATTTTGGGATATCCATTGCTTTTGAAACCTTAAGATTAGTACTTCCTTAAGTTAAACCTAAATGAGGAGAATCTCTATCAAGTCGAACAAACTGTGCTCAGGTACAGGCTTAAACATTCAAACAGGTCTTGAAAGATGAGTCTTTAAAACTGCGATGTGGCAATACCATAACACACAACTTGGCAGAAGATTCAGTGTTTGAAACAGTAGCTTTGACAGTAACAAGTGGTCAATGAAGAACCTGTCAGAATATATAATTTGTAAATAGTATCATTTCCATGCAATGAATGCTATTTACCTCATATTGATCCAAACAATAAACTCAGCATTTAAAAAAAATGAGACTGAGGACGAAGATATACTTTGACTGAGACTGTCTTTTCTTCAGACAACTCAAGCGCAATAATTCTTGACCAGAAAGTTTTATTAGTGTCTGGCCACCATTTTGTCTTATTTTCAAATCTAGACTAATCTCCATTATTGTGTAAAATAACGTATATTCTTCTCCCTTATACAACATGATATTTGTTTATTAAAATAATAGCTATGTTAATGTTTATATGTGGGATGGTTTGTTTGTTGATATATATTATCAAATTTCAATTTAAAAAATTGAATAATAGAAAAAATATAAATAATAAATAATAGAAATGGGTGATAAAAAAAACACCTTCTGTAGACAGGTCCTTACAGAAAGCACGGTGCTTTTCAAAATAAACATTATCTGATATGATTTACTACCCAACACGGGACCGGAAACTGCCTCTGTGCATAATTCGGGAGTCGTTAAGAGAACTACGTAACCTTGCGATCACCTTGCAAACATCAGGACACTTAAGTGCGTTTACAGCCACTGTTCAGTTCTGATGTTGACTGAATTCAATACTGTTATTATCAATAACATGATTTTAAGTTGGTGGTCGTCAAGTCGGACGGGGTTTATAACCGTTACAACGCGTCGCATCCCGGTGTCAAACGGGGACACCGTGACCTGACAGTCAGCGGCTCGGCGCGTACTCTGCTCTGCGTTAACCTGCCGTCGGTCAACAAGAAGCGATGGCGGCTGTAGCACACGACGGGGCATATCTGTTGTCACATATGTACTCCATAGCAGGACAGTTAAATATTCTGTAAAGGTTATAAAAGAACGTTTTCTTACCCGCAGCCTAGAGACAGTCAAACAGTAAGGCGCCATTTTGTTCACTGACAAAGATGAGTGTCGCCCTGGTGTGACGTCACTGGCTTAAGTTGCCCGTTATTTTACACTATAAATTAATAAATGTTTTAATTTAAGTCTCTTTCTAGTAATTTATCTTCACCCCTGACATTTTTTTATCTATCTTTTTTATTTTCATATTGTTTTATTTCATTTAATATAGGCTACTACTATTGTATTTATGTTGTTATTATTTTCTTGTCATCAAAGTTTATGTAATTTGACCTCTATATGTTTTTGAATTGAGCTACTTTTCTGTTAATTTGTCCTGTTCCTTATGTGGAATTTTTTGAAATAAAGAAATTTAAATAAAAAAAAACACTATAAATTAAGAAAGGAAATTTTTATTATTATTATTGTTATTATTATTATTATTATTATTATTAAATTTCGACCGTTTCGACATAATTTCACGATTGTCACATATATTTTCTCTCGCGTATGAAGTAAGCAAAGATGGAAAGTGACTAATATTTTCTTGATTACAGTTTTTGTTTTGTACTCCTACTTCACTGTATTTCAGAGGAAAATATTGTACTTTCACTCCGAGTTTATTTGACAGTTAGCCTGCTTGTGAGTTAGCTTCATCTACACAAGATACATTAAATGTTGCTTACACAGAGACGCAGCAATGATAATAATCCAATAATGTAATAGTTTCATGGAAGTATTATCGGCTACATTTTACTGCTAATACTTTTGTACCTCTGCAGGACTTAGCATTTTTATGGTGTAGTATTGCTACTTCTCCTGGTGCTTTCATCCACTGGAACTACACTTTACACATAATACATAATATAAAATCACACATAATAGGATACATAATGAATCAGTACGTTTTTATTGCTTTCTGCAAAATGAAAAAATCTATTAACTTAAAAAAACATAAAGCAGTTTAGTAGCCCCAGCTCTATGAAGTTAACAAATGCCATGGGCATTTTCTATAGCCCCACTTTGTAGTATCTACCACGCATTTTAAACCCTTGTTAATTTTGAAAATATTCTAAAAGTCACAGAATAATCTTATAATCATATATCATTTAGTGATAAGAACGTCATTTCCCACAAGCCTCTGGTAAAAGTCCGGTTGCTTTGGTTGGCTGAGTGGACGCTGCAGCCCTATAATCTGTGGGTCCTCCCCCATCTCAGCCAATAGAGACTCTGTTGCTATCACTCCTTATATTTTTAGCAAATTGTTCTGCACCGTAGGAAACTACAAATATCCCACCGCCGAAAGAACTAGAGCCTGATGGGTACTTCGGTTTTATATGAGGACAAAAACGTTTTTTTGTGTAGTATCGGTGTCACTACTTTTCGTGGAAGACTATGAATCGAAATCGTGAGTGATGACATGTTTATTTTCCTTTTTTTTGTTATTTTTAAATGATTCTGCGGGGACGTATGAAAAAAAGATGTATCTATAAGGGTGACATTAATGATTTGCTAACAGGAGAACAGACATGATAAATACAGTTATAAGAATATTACAATAATAATAATAAAGCAGCATCCATTATAATGTGAAGAAAGTAGTGCCTGCCGTCACGGGGGTGTGGGCGAGTCACAGTGTATAAATACGCCGGGTTGTCAAACAGGAAAGTTTCTCTGGACCCTCCATGCAAACTGTCAGCTCAAGACAAACTGGAAAACCATCCAGCCACCGGAGAATTGGGGCAGCAGTTAAAAACAAAAAAACAAAAACAAAACAACAATACCAAGGTGAAAAATATCCTGCGGTCGGCATCTAAACCGACGACTCGAGACAATCGTCTTGAAATCCGAGACAACACAAGGGATTTAAAACAGAAACGCAGGAGTACAAATCAAGCTAGGACATCAGTGACGATAGGTGAGTAATTAACTGTCAACCGGTGCACAATATAGGCTAATTTTATTCTAATATGCTAACGGGCCTGTGTGTGTTTTGGTGTTTTTCTTTCCAGAAGCTGTGGTTATCCATCAAAATGCGCTGACTATATTGAATAACTGTACTGGGTCCGCCATTGAATAGAAAAACACGGCTTTTGTTTTTGTCTTAGCTAGCCGTTATACATTATAATTAGCTGACGTGACCCTCTAAAGGTCTGTTAAGCTGTCATGATTTTTTTCTCTCTCTCTCTCGTTTATATTCGTGGTTTGACGGAGGGGGGGGGGGTTGTTTATGCTGAGGAGGGACTCTCTTCTTCATTGCTCAGTGCACATACTCGGTCGATAGGCTGTTCGCCACTTAATTAGCTACATAATTTAATCTACAACGACAATTTGGCAAGGAGGGATTCTCCACCTGCATGTCAGCTAAACCGATGTCCTTTCTGCTCCAGTGCCTTTTGACTGACATATGGCAGTAATCCCCAGGTAGACCCTGCTGCTGTTATTATCTGGGCTTCTCACCACACATGCGAACCTGGTTGATATTTTTCCAAACCCCTCTCTCCTTGTTTATTAATCCTCCATTATCCGGCAGGTAGATATGCAACATATTCCTAATTCAGTGGGTCTATAAATAACAAACAGTTTAAAGTTCCATTGGGAGAAAACTGAGATCAACAAAACAAAAATCACTGTAATTTTATTGAGATTTATGTCTGTGGTGACCACTTAGTATTGCTCTGACCCCCACTTATAATATTCCTAAATGGGCTTTTGTTGTCATATTTGTATTGTAGTGTGTGCTTATTGTGAGATCACTGTAGCTCTGCTGCTTAACAGTTCAAATCTGACTTGTAGTGGATGCTTTGCAGCACACACTGTCACACATTTGCAGCTCTGATAATGAGTCCATGTAAACAAAAATAGCACCAGAGATCCTGCTGTTGCACCGATCCGCAATAACAGGCCTTTAAAAATAAAAACCATCTCCCTCAAACTGTGCAACAAATCTGCAGGTGAAGGATACAAGTATGAACGCAGTGAGGGGATTTGCAAACATGAAAGATTTTTGATGTATTTTAATGAAATTGCAAGCTGTGTTAATGTTTCAGACCAATTATTTCACCACAGAAACAATAAACCTGCACATATTAACTGAGTTATTCTCTAATGTCATTGGATGACATTGGAGCATCTGTATCTTGCCTTTTTGTAATGAGAGGAACAAAATGCAGTAGATGCTGTAGATAGCTTAGCTGTGTGTGCACCCAAGGTTTTTAGTGGTGATGGCTGTTGCAGGTGACGGACCGGTGGATTCTCTTGTGCTCGAAGATCCTTCCCTACAATCACTTTAACTCATTTTTGACTCAGGTGGTGGAGAGGAATTTGCACCACAGACGATGCAAAATGGGGTCCTATTTATAGCCCATCCGAACCAGCCCCCATCTTATCCTTCAATGTCACCTTTTTCATGCAAAAGGAAAATGTAAATCTCATCTTGAACCGTCACTCCCGCAGCCGTGCGTCCAGCCGTTGCAGCTTTATCTGTAATAACATTAGAATTGTCTTTAATCGGAGGCGTCTTTCTAATCTTAGCTGCCGAATCCCCATCTGGCAGGGAATGTGAGTGAATTGTTTGTGTGTGTGCGTAGGGGGGAGGGGGTGATCGCACGCACTGCATGGTGGGACATGGTGTTCTGTGGAGTCGATTAACTGTCCTGCCATTTTATACTTCTTCCTCAGGGAGTCTTCTGGTGTTTTTTTTTTTGTTTGTTTTTTTTCCTCTTGCATGTAATCTTTCTTTTCAGCTCGACTCTGCGTGGTGATGACTGGCCTCTGTGTGACTTACAGCATTAAGCAGGAGGCACTCCATGGGCTCGGATTCAGATTATAAAGGATTTATGAAGCCCACGACACAGCATCTGTTACATCAATCAGTACAACCTGCAGTTGATACAACCAACTGATATAAAATATAAAGCATTTTTAATTGCTGTGTATTACTGAATAAGAATAGTGGATGAGTAAATAAGTTTGTATTATAGAAATATGATTCCTGGATAATAGTGATAATTCCTAAAGTCATGATATCGGTCTTTTCCCCCACAATTTCCCCAAACTGTTTGAATCTATTTTTAATGGCTTTAAGGTCATTTTCGCAGCAGATTAGATTTAGCGTCAGGTTTCTTATTCGAATCGATGTTTGCCCGGGTAGGTCAGTACAGAAATGCCTCAGTCCATATCGCATTAAGCCGTGACACTTCCACTGGTCTCATGTGTTTTTCCTGCTTTCACCAGACTCATGATGTATGGAAGATGCAGTGTGCCATTCAAATAATTAAACAAATCAATTAAACATTCAATTGACGGATACATTTACTAAACTGTTGATGATGGTCATGATCTTGTACATTTTCTAGTTGATTTTTTTGCAAGTGTCAGTGTGAGTAAACAAAGACCTTCAAAAGTTTTTGTCCTTTAAACCAAAGTAAACAACTCGGATAAAAAACAAAAATGTAAATGATATTTCTCTAAAATAATGAGTTATAATGAATCACTGTTTATTCTGGCAGCACACTCCAGCCTCTGTACAATCCAGGCTCTCTGTGTCCATTAACTGTCTGCGGCAACAATAGAATAACAACAAACGCCCTCATGTCCTTGCCAGGTAAAGTGACTGCTTTCCTCTGTTTTCATCTTCACAGTTGGAACCTGAAAACATTGTTACGTACTTGTGACGGCGAAAAAACAGCCTGCAACCTGCTGCCCCCACCTTCAAGGTGCCTTTACCATGGTGACACTAAAACAACCGTACACTTTACAATAAGCCAGAGGAAGAACTCCGTGTCTCAGTTGCTTCGCTTCACTTTCAGAACCATCATTTCAAACATTTTGCCGACCCGGTGCAGCCATGCATCTAGAAGTGAAGGTTGCCCTCAACTTCATCGTGTCCTACCTGTACAACAAGCTGCCTCGGCGTCGAGCTGACCTGTTCGGCGAGGAGCTGGAGAGGATACTTGTGTCTCGTTTTGAGGGTCACTGGTACCCTGAAGCCCCTCTCCGGGGTTCTGCCTTCCGCTGCATTCACCTGGGGGCGCCGAGGGACCCCGTGGTGGAGTTGGCCGCAAAGAGAAGCGGACTGGACACGGAGGAAGTGCGTGCAAATGTTCCCGCAGAGCTCAGCGTGTGGATCGACCCTTATGAGGTGTCCTACCAGATTGGAGAGAAGGGGGCAGTGAAGGTGCTCTACCTGGAGGACCCCCCAGGTCTGGGCTGTGACAGCGAGAGGCCTGAGGGTGTGATCAGAGAGGGCAAAGGAGACGCAGAGGCGGAAGAGGCCAAGAATCTGGGCTTCAACCCAGACGCTCAGGTGTTTGTGCCAATTGGAAGTCAGGCGTCTCCCGCCCTCATGCCGTCGCACTCCAGCTCTCCCACACCTCTGTCTGCCCAGTCCTGCCCCGGGCTCTTCAGCTACCCCAGCTCCAGTACTCCCACTGACCCTGCTGCCCACTCCTCCAATACCTCTACCCCTTCCCCTCCCAGCGGCGGGCTGCCCTACCTCGCCGCTCAGCAGCCACCCTCCGCTCTTCCCACTGCCCGCCCTCAACCCATCACCTTCACCACAGCCAGCTTCGCCGCCACTAAATTCGGCTCGACCAAGATGAAGAAGTGCAGCGGAGCCGGGTCGCCGGCCAGCTCCGGAGTCGTCGTCCCACCCGCCCAGAGAATGCTCTCCCGCTCTCCCACCAACATCTCGACGCCGGAGCTGCTCAAGCACAAGCCGCTGTCGCTCTCCTTGCACTCCCTCGGAGGTCCCATCCCCAGCCAGCTCTCCCCCAACGCCAAAGAGTTTGTCTACCCAGGATCCCCGGGGCCCCTTTACTTCGATGCAGACACCCAGCCCATGCAGCCTCATGCCAGCCCATTTCAGCCCCCCCACACTGTCAACACCCATCCATCCTTTGACCCCTTCTCCAGCCCTCCTCCGGCCCAGAGTGTGGGCATCATCGGCAGCAACGGAGGAATTTCTTACATGGAGAAGCCGCCATTTGTCGAAGGTTTAGGAAGCTACAACCTGCAATATCCCAGCCAGTCCTTCCAGCCTGTTGTGCTGGCCAACTAAGCCTTCATTTGTAATGAGAGGAGTCGCTGGAGGAGGAGTCGGGTGTGAGGACAGTGATGCTCCTGATATTTTCAGTTTTTCTAAGAAATTGTTCTAATACTAATACAAATTAAGAATTAGTTTACTACAAAGATTTAAAATACCACGTTCACTGAATATGTCTGTGATTTGTTTTGTTCCTCCACAGCCCCCAGCCCCACCCTGCCCCTTTGTCCATCGCTGTTACTCGTCACGTTCTATGTGTTCGCTTTGACAGGAGTGGGTGGGGGTGACTTCCTTTCTCCGTTGAGTCCTTGCCAAGCTTTTATGTTTATTGTTTTGCATTGAATGTTAATGTGAGACACTTGTTTTTTTGGGGTTTTTTTTTTTTTTTTTTTCTTGACCTGTAGTCTAATGGACCCGGCTCTAGCATAGCTCCATTTTGCACTGCACTGTCATGCTGTGAAAAAGGACCTCGCCAAGTCCTGCAGGGAACGACGGCTGTGGAAAGCTCAGCACTTTGCTCTGCAATCTGCTCTGCCCTACTTGCCACAAATACAGAGAAGAGGAGGAGGGGGGGGGCTCTGCTGTGTCTGTGTCTGTGTGTGCAGTGCTGTTCTGTTTTGTTGTGGCTCAGCGTGATCGAGAGACTCATTGTTTGTACGTCGGGCCCGTTACCCTTGAAACGCGCTCGTGCACAGGCACAGTTTCACTCTGTTGTTGTCAGCAGGCGTATATTGAAAGCAGTTTATGGTCAGCTGGAATGTGTTCATGACATGGGCTTAAATGAAGTTGGAGCAGTGCAGGGAGCAGAAAGCAGAGCGGGGGGGGGCATTAGGGTGTTAAGGGAGTGATGTAGTAGAATGTATTGTACTTGTCGGGGGAAACTGCAGCTGGGAAGGTCAGGGAAACCTTGGCGAATGTGAGAGGCGAACGAGTCTTTGCATTTTAAGACCGTAACCATGACGCGCAGGGATGTACGTTATGGCTTCATACGTGTACTCAAATAGACAAACACGCAGAAAATATGTGCACACACACACACGATTCCAGTCAGCAGAGTGTGAAGGTGAACAGGCGGAGAAGGTGATGAGGGGGAGGGGATGCAGCAGCTAAGCAGTAGGGATTGTGATAAATGGCTTAGCATGACTTTGACTATGAAGGAGAGGTTTTCCTCTGCATGAGAGGAGAGAGGGAGACGGGCAGACAGAAGGAAATGAGAGAGAGAGAGAGAGAGAAGCAGCTAGAGGGTTGTGTTGCCTCCGTGGCGTCCGGAGCGTATTGGTTTAGAGAGCGAGACTTTAAAACCCAGAGCACGTTTCTGGTGAGCTTAAATGGTATTGAAGCCAAAGGCTCACACTATTCTCTCCCTCCTCTTGAAATTCTTCAGTGATCTCTGCTTCGGCTCAGGTTGCTCTGTCTCTTCTCCCCAGTTGCAGTGACGTGGACACAGATTCAAAGATGAATGTTCTCTATCGACGTGTGGCTTCAGCGGACAGCTCGTCCACATCACTGGAAGTCTGTTGTTTCCAATGTGTGTTTACCAGTCGGGTCCATGTGATCGTTGGTCAGTCGCTACAGGGAAGGCTAACCCCAACCCCCACCCCCCACCCCCACCCCCCGCCCCTGCGTGTCCATTTGAGCTGTCCAGCACTTTATTTCTGGGCTCCTGATACTGTGTGTCGCCCACAGACGCGAGCGCTGAACCATTCCTCTGCCCTCGGTTTGGTTTGTTTGATCCAGCCGTCATGAAACGCTTTAGAGATTCAAACACAAGCTAAATTTGTATTGAAAATGCATCACCTGGGCGCGTAGACGCCGTCAGTCTTGGCCGTTTATTTGAATGTTTTCTAGACTTGTATCCATAAATGTTTTTGTATAAGATGACCCGAGGACCCTCGACTTGTGCTCATGCTGGTATTGCGATGTGATAACTTATCATATGCATGCGAGTTTTATTTCTTTTTTTGGTTGTTTTTTTTGTTTTGTTTTGTCGTTTTTTTTCCAAGGGGAAAGGTGGGGCGGTACACATCTCTGTAGATGCTCTGATTCTGAGGGAAAGATGCATTCCTAATTTTTGTTTTGTAATTTATTTCCGATATTTCTATATTTTTGTTTTTGCAAAATTCTCACTTACATTTGTATGAGTAAGACATGACAGGAGTCCAGGAATATGTATATAAAAAGTTCTTATGTTCAGATTCTTTGTTTAGTTTCTTACATGCTGAGGTTATTTTTTCAGAAAATAACATGAATATATGCAAACTGAGACAAAAATAAAGATGTACAGAATAAAGTATTGAATGTTTATTGTATCTTGTACAGCATTTGTCTAATAAGACGGGTAAATGTATTCATCCTTCAAGTTGGATTTGGAGTTTAAGACGTGAATGTTTACAGTGGGTTTGTGTAGGAAAAGATGGCTGATTTCACTTTATCTGTGCTCCCAGGGCAGTCTGACAACACTACTCCCATAAGCAGTACATTTAAACCAAAAACCTCCACATTTCACATTCATTTGAGTGCAATGTTCACCTTCCCTCTTTATGTGAATTCACTGCATTTCCTGTGGTTACCCCTGGAGTTTCTTCTTCTTTTCCTCACTTTCTTTTTTTCTTTGAAATAATGCCCATCAACTTGACACCAACACTCCTGTTTTCTAAAATAGTATCTAAACTCTTCCTAATATTATATTTCCCATTAACTGTTACTTTATCGCACCTCTATTTTTTTTTTTATTTGATTTATTTATTTTCAGTGGTCATCTTCTCCCCATCAGCCTGGTCCTTTTGGTCCTGATACTATAGCCATATCCCAGACTGTCTTTGCTTACACAGATGCTCACCCTTCTCCAGTGCAATGTAACGCCATAATTTAAATTACCCTGAAGGATTCAAGGGGTTTCTACCTCTCTGCACCCTGGAAAAAGAAATATCTCCTCAGCAGTGTTAGCAGCAGGTTTTAGAAGGAGGAAGGAAATGAATGTGTTGTGAATGTGATTCTGACCTGATGTTAGTCGACCCTGGTTGAGAAGGCCTGCAGAAAACAAACAGAAGAAACTGCTTATTTTATTGTCTTGGAGAGATTTTTAGTCACATGCATGTCTAAAATGTCCAAGTGACTCATTTTTCTTATTTTTTTTTCCCCACATTTGTCGGATTGTTCAGTGCAAATGAGATTGTGTCGTTAAATTTCCTCTCGAGGTGAGAGATGCGAGGACGAGTGCGATTCGTAAAAGCTGCGTTTGTCCTCGCGTCTTTTAAGAACGAACGCTGGTTTGTGGAGAAGAGACGAGACGGTGTTTTAAACGCACCACAAATTTACTGTAAACGCAGGCTGTTCTACAATCAGGGTTGATCATTAATGAAATGGAAAAATAAGAATTTTGTATTCTGATGTCCTTTGCTTATATCGATGTGTGCGTTTTATTTTGCACTTTGGAATATTTCATTGTCATAAAAGAAGTTTATTTTCTATGTAAAATTTAACATTTAAGAATAAATAGATATAATTAAAAGTTCAGATGATGTATAAATATAGTGCTTTCTTTCCTGCCTGTATTTTATTATTTTTCCTATTTTGTATCTGATCTGTACACCCTGTAGATGTATAATGAATCTTTCACTACTGAAATGCAATGACCTGTTTTCTGTGCTGCCCCTCGGGAATGGGGAGTTACTACTGCAGTTTCTTATTGTATCAGATTCTTTTTTTAAGTTTGTAATAAAAAAACAGATTGGCAAAAATAAGCATGGAAAATAAGCTAATTGTGTCGTCCTCATTGTTTCTGGGTATGCAGAGGAGCCGTGGAGCGTTAGGTGACCACTAGCAGCTTCAGCTTGGTCACAGATAAATCCGCCTCTTGCTGCCTGTACGAGCGTCGCACTCGGTTAATGTTGAACGTGTTAATCACAGATGATGAGAAGTTAGATCCTCGTGTCTCTGTGAAAAGCCTCAGATTGAAAATTGAAATGCCAGAGCAACGTTGTCGTCTTATTGCAGTAAATACATTCAAGTGATGTTTGATCAATAATTCAAAGCAAAGATGAAAATTCTCAAATGGTGATGAGCCAGATTGCTCACCACCTACCTCAGCTGGACCCGTCCCAGCAGATATTACTTTACATTTCATCATCCAGCGCTCGCTCTCGCTCTCGCTCTCGCTCTCTCTCTCTCTCTCTCTCTCTCTCTCTCTCTCTCTCTGTCGGGTGCAGTCAGCTGGAAGCTTGGCTCGCCCATGTGAGGCAAACACTGGACTGTGCTTTCTATAGTATCATGTGGTGGTGTGACATTAACATGTGTGACGGGGCTCCTCTATATACACACACACACACACACACACACACACACACGCCCACTCACTGCATCCCTCCCTCCTCTCACATGTCTTAAACTGCACCCCTGTTCTCCATCTTTCCTCTGTCCATACACCCCCCCCCCCCCCCCCCACACACACACACCACACACACACACACACACACACACACACACACACACACACACACACACACACACACACACACACACACACACACACACCACACACACACACACACACACACACCACACACACCTTCTCCCACTCTTCTTCACGCCCCTGCTCTTCCCTCCCTCTCCCTCTTCAGCACCCTTTCCTCTCCTCCTCTCCACCCTGCATCTTTCCATCCACCTGATCTTTCCCTCTCCTCTCCAATTCCCAGAGCCCCTCCCATGCTTCCTCGCTTTTCTTTCTTCTTCCTCCCTACACACACACACACACACACACACACGTGCACCCATCCTGCTGGTCTTTGAGCTGCTGCTGTTACGCAACGCTGCTCCCCTGTGTGTTGATGTGATCATTACGCAACATCTCCTACTCCTCTGGAATACTGATGAGCAGCAACGAAGGGACGGTGAGAAGCAACAGTGTCTGAAACAAAAACAAAAATCACATTGTGTGTGTGTGTGTGTGTACACGTGCGCTCGGGTGTGATTGGGCATGTGCACGTGCGCAACATTTGACGAGGAAGACCCCTCCATCCGTCCACCGAAGTGAGCTTCTTTTGTCATCTACCGTTTCCTTTGTCTCTCAGCACCAGTGTTTCTCCCGTCGGAGCCGCTGCAGATCAGACAAAGTCAAACTCGGAGCCCACGTGTCATTAAATCCCAATTTATTTCATATACATGATACAAGATACAGTTAGAACATGGCACTGCAGTTGCATGTATCCTATACATGGTTAGGACGATACAAAAACACCCAACGAAAACATGTTCATATAAAAAGAGAGAGAAAATAAAGCAAAACACCACAAAACAAACAAAAACTTTAAAAATGTTTTCAGTAAAGATGTTTAAATTCTTTTTTTTTCCCGGAGTGTAATAGCTACTTCCAATAGCAAACAAGAACATAGTATCAGAGATGTGAAGCCAACCTGAAGGTTTCAGACCAGATCCACTGCTCAACACAGTTTACACCTTCAGACGAGCTCGTCTGCGCCATCTACAGGCAAGAAAACAACAGCACGTTCACGCTGGTGCCACCTGCAGGCAAAATGTAAGAACTGCAGTTTTTACAGTGTGTGACACTGAATATCTTAAATTTATAGTAGAGTATCTCACTCTGGACAGGCCAGTTAACACTTTGATGCCTAGTTTTCTGATGATGAAGCTTAATGTTTAGCCGAGATCAGACATGACAGGTTAAGCTAACAGGCAAAATATGAAAGCTGCTACGAGACTTAGACGTGGCACAAGTGTAGAAATGCAGTAGCTATAACTTTTTACACACAGCTACATCTGCAGGTCTAATGTTATTTTCATTCCCTACTGGTGGCGCAGGTTAGCATGTGTCAAACTGGAGCATCTGCAACCTGCTGGATGTTACTGAGTGACAATTACACGCCCAGTTTCATGAGGCGCTTTGCATCAAAAAGAGATTGCTACATACTGTGTGCTGTACTATAAAAGATCGTGATTTATTGCCTTTTAAAAAGGCATTCCTGACCAGTACCTTTAGTCAGCCTTGTGCAGAACATTTTAATTTAGTCAGAAAATAACTAAAGTTTGCACTCATCAACTACACTGATGTATATAAACAGCAGAATGCAGTCAATGTCAAGTCTGAATGTCAATTCAAAATAAAATGCACTGCGAAGAAAAGTCTGTTTGACTACACCATCAGGAAACTGAAACAAACACAGAAACTATCGAGAAAACACAAAAGCACCAACTGATCCAGTGTATCTAGATATAGATCAATCTTAAGTAAATAGAAAACAATCCACACAGTGATCGAAAGATGCTGTTTTCAGCTGATGTTCACCCCAAGGTCACGCACTGGCTGCACAAGGATGGGTGGCGCTATTATGCAAGTCATAAACACAAGACATCAGAGCTAAGACGTTCTGCCCCTCCTTTGACAGAGCTGTACAACAGACCATCAGCCCCCCCCCCACCCAAAAACATATCTAGTTTTCAGTGATGGTTTACAGACATAAGTACACTTGGTGTAAAACAGTGAAGAAGAAAAAGACAAGTTTACTGGGTTTCATGCATTAGGATCCGCGACGACAGAGGATCTAAACTGGAAGCACAAATGACTTTGGGGCATTTCTATTTAGTACGTCATAGCAATTTTACATACAACATCATCACTGAAATTAAACAAGCATTACATAACAGAGTATTATTGCCACATTTATTTTCTTTCCAAGATTACGGCGATTATGAGCACAAGCCGACCGATCACAAATCCTGCATCGGTCAAAGACACTTGAGATATAGAGTCCCATAACAGTCTGTAATGTGTTTACTAATTCAGACACAGACTCAGCCAGTTTGGCAAAAACAAAGTCAATTTATCAACTCGGATTCAAAGTTTTGCCAAATGGAACTAAGCTGCTTTTAATGTGCTCTCTGCTTCAACCAACACCGCTCTGTAGCCCTGCTAAACGTTACCCATTCACCATAGGAAGTGCTGGATGAGGTAAATTAGAGTGTGCCCTGTCCTGGCACATACTGTATATATGTACGTATGCGTAGAGAAAAAAAATCCATATAGCTCTATAAATCTGTTTTTAACATAAACATCCAAAAGCACAGTTTACCCATTGAAGTCCCTGCTTTGTCATTGGTTTTGTTGTAAATATTGTTTCTCAAAAGGAAATAGAATTATCTGACATATTGTTGTACGTCACAATCAACAGATGCATTATTACCATCAGAATAAATACAGCACTCATTGACTATTTGGCAGATATAAGGAATAGTATCGGGTTAATAAAGCCACAGTCAGAATCCCTGTCTTAGGAAATCAAGACCATGAGACAATCATTTAATTACAAGGTATCGAAGCAGTCAACTTTGGGCCTGGCTAAATTAAAAATATATACATATGTATATATCAATCCAGCCATCACTACACCACCAGCAGGCAGGTAGCGGCTCTAGCGCCCTCTACTTGCAGTGTGCGGTAAAATAAACTCCCCTACATATGAACATACCCCTCCACCGGTGAGGGCCCGTCGACAGCAGACAGTAACCTACAGGAAAGTACGACTCTCTCTGCGTTTGTAAATCCACCGACCCAAACACCTGTCTTCTCTACTAAAATATTGTGAGGCTCCTGAAGCTGCTCTGAGGTTAGTAGAAAAGGAAACTAAATCACAGTAGCTTTTAACTGTAGGTCATGCATGTTTTTTTTTCCCCCCTCAGAAGCTACTGTGTTCGTGGTAAATAACCTGCCACCACTATAATCTTTACACTGTTTTGTAAGAAAAAGTGCAAAAAAAAAAAAAAAAAAAAAAAAAAAAAAAAAAAAAAGGATTACACACTGATACACACACATATTAATGTGGTGCAGGGAGATGACTATATATATATACACAAGGTTTTTGTGTGCATGTGCGTTAAAAAGAAGGAATTAACTGCGACTGTGACTGAATCGAGCCAAACTCTCCTCCTCCTCCTCCTCCTCCTCCTCTCGCCCTGAGGTCTGTGATTCTCTCTCTCTCTCTTCAGGCTGGTAGTGAGGCTGTGAATCTGCCTCCTGCTCCTTGATTCACACGTTCATCTGTCCCTCTCTCCGACCGCGCCGTGAGTTAATAAAAACATCCTTCCTCTGAGCCTCAGCTGGAGTATTTTAAAAGGAAGTACAGACACAAACATGAGTGCAACACAAGGAGAAGTGAGGGACGGCGAGTGTGCACCAGTCTAAATACACAACTTCTAACTGACGTTTCTCATGCTTTGGTCCACTAGGAGGAAGTGCTATGCAGTGATAAAAACAGATTTGTGAAGTATTTAAAAAAGCCTGTGATTCTTTTGTACCAGCCTGCTCTTTTCAGATTTCCTGACTCTCCTGAAACCGTCTTGAGACAGATCATATTTTCCATGTGTGTGTGACCATGGGAGTATCCACAACCGTCCAACTTCCTCTCTGAGTGTAGGAGCCAGGCGCTCTCCACAGGCCTTCCTGTGACCACCACTCCCATCATGCCTCACTGCCTGCCAGTGTGTATCCAAAACTCCAGCATCGTGCTAGAGCTCGACACAGTGACTGGAGGTCAGCAAAGACAAAAGTGCAAATTTAGATTCCCTTGGTGTTTGTGTCTGTGTTGAATTTTTGCGGGGAAGGGAGTTCTGCTTTTGTCTCGTTGACACTTCATGGGGTTTTTTTTCTTGTTCCGAGGTTTTTACAGTGGGCCGTACTTCGCTTCGTATCTGGCCAGGACGTTCTTGCAGCGGCCGCAGTCCTTCCGCAGCTCAGCCACTTGCTGCCTCAGCGCGGCGTTTTCCCGCTCCAGGAAGGAGGCGCGCACGGTGATCTGGTTCTCCTTCAGCCGCCGCGCGTCACGAGAACGCTTTGCTGCCAGATTGTTCTTCTTTCTCCTGGACCAGTATTTGTCATCCTGAGGGATTGAGATTCAGACTTTATTTATTCATAGAAGGGCAGCTGTTTTGCAGCTTACTCAGTCCATACACACAACTCACAAACTCACAGGCGAAGCAGTTGATCAGCACTTGGGTCAATACACGGAACAACAAGCCGCAATAAGTTAAATTAATATGAATAAAACAAGTTAAATAGATAAAAAATAACACATCATGTTGCAGTTTCTGTAGTAAATAATATGAATATATAAATGACTGAATTCAAAAATGTAAATTTGAATATATAATTTAAAATGAGAACTGTCTGCGTTTAGTAGCCTGACAGCAGAAGGAATGAGGGAGTTGGAGCGGCGAGTTTTTCTCCCGAGGGGAACATCGTAACGCCGACCTGAGGGAGTGAGAGTGGAAGTGAATGAGAGGAAGGAGGTGTAGTCGAGCACGATCAACACGAGCGCCATCTTTGATCTGTAATCCACGAGCGAAAGATTTAATCTAACCAGGACGGAGCAGAACACTGAGCCGTCTCCAACTCCACCTGAAACTTTACAATTCCAGGTAAATGATATCCCGTCATCCTCGTGGTGCGATCCTCATATTCTCTGAGACCTACTGCCTTATATGGTTTTCACGTTTTTATTAAACGGTTTAATTTAATTTGCCACTGGTTACCATGACAATTACCGTTTTCCAAATTACAGCTGTTAGTTCAGAGGAAAAATCACGGATTGTACAGCCACTCTGTGAATGATATCTCTTTATGATGGGGTCATAGCAGCAGATCGGCCACACACACACACACACACACACACACACACACACACACACACACACACACGATTAAATCAACCTACCTTCTGTTCATCAGGAACAAACACTTTCTTGGCCTTCTTGATCATAGGCTGCGGTTTCAGCTCCTCGTCAGAGAACTTGTGTTTGCGCGGGTTGAACAGCTCCCCCCCCGGCACACTGGACAGGACCAGGTCTGTGGGGTCCGGCTGGAAATTAATGTCCACCTCGATCGCATCTGGGTCGATGGGGGAGGGCGTGTTGCGTTCCGCAGCGCCTCGATCTGTGTGTGCGGAGAGAAAGCGTAAGCTTGGATCAAAGAGAGGTCACTCCAATAAAACTAAATTAACTTTACGGAGCAGCAATACTCGACTAATTTATTGATTTGTCATGTGTACGTAGTAAATACCAAACATCTGCTGGTTCTGATGCACAAATATGGGCACGTGCAGCATTTCATTCATATTTTAGACAAAATAAAGACATTACTATGCGAATCTGTGAAAGACATGTCTTGTGAGTGAGCAGAAAAGTTAAAACTGTAATTGCTCTTTCTCTTTTTGTTTTGACATCTCGACTCGATTCTGTTGTTCTTAGGGATTTGAATGTGTTGAATGTGTATGTGTGATTTTTTTGCTCTAAAACATTGGTTCCCAACCTGTGGGCTGGGGCCCACTGGTGGGCCGTGAAGGTATTGCAAGCGGGCCAAAAAATCATTCGCAAAACAGCACAATTTTGGTGATAAAATATAATAATTAAAAACATATATTTGTATGTAAATAAATGTTTTTAAATACCTTAAAACGAAATGATCTTAACAGCATTAAAAATGTTTAAAAACTCCTTTCGTTTGTTTGTTTTTTCATATTAAGGCCGATCCCCGTGATAGGCCAATGATAAGGAACTTTTAAGTTTCCACCGGCTGGACGACTTCGCCAACATGTTTTATGATTTTACTCAACAAAGTACCTTGAAGATATACGAGGTTTCTACAGGTCACAGTGATCCGCCGTGGACGTGATGCTCAAAGGTCGCTGTTTGTCTGTGTTACGTCATGTGAGTTAATCTTCCTCCAGCGTCTCCAGCAGCGAGAGCAACTAAAACTACACTTAACTATCTGACAGCACAAATCCTTTTTATGAAATTATTAATAATGATTATAAATAATAAATCATTATAATAATTGTAAAGGGGAATGGAAAAGATAACAAAATCATAAATAAAGGGAAACATCTGCACTCATCAGCTCTCCTAATGTTGAACAAATATTAACCTCTGTAAATCTAAATGACTCACCTGGTTTCTTCTCCTTCACTTTCCCTTCTGCTGGTGCTTCCTCAGACAAGGATTCCTCCTCATCTTCTTCCTCTTCCTCCTCATCTTCTTCCTCTTCCTCCTCTAGTTTAGCCGGCTGCAAGGTGGTGACAGTCACCGTTTCCTCTGGTTCTGAGGTGACTGTAGAGGTGGCGGAGGCGGAGGGGGAAGATGCCGAGCCAGAGACAGACGCTGCAGCAGCAGGAGTAGGAGTAGGGGGAGGAGGAGGAGTAGGAGTAGTGGTGGTGGTGGTTGTAGCAGAAACCTTGGGGGTGGATTTGCCTTTGCCGTCCACTGAGGATAGAGTCTTCTGCAGCTGCTCCTCCTCCTCCAGACTCACAGGGATCCCGTTCTCCAGGAGGAACTCATCCAGGTCCATGTACTCCAGGTGGAAGGTCTCCCCATCATAGGGAATGGTCTTCTCCCAAATGGCTGGGGTTAGGGAGGCTGATACCCCGCCACTGCCACCACCTCCACCCCCTCCTCCTCTGGAACCTCCACCAGTGCTGGCTGCCCCAGCCCCGCCTCCCTCAACATCCTCAGATGAGCACAGCTTCTCCTTCTCTATTTCTGCAAGACAGACAGGGGGGACGGGAGTTAGAGGAATGGCTGCTTGCTTTTCCTGAGCACACATGACTTCAGGAGTCTGAGACACATGAGGAAAGACGATTCATGTGTGGAAACAGACAAGGTGGGAGGGGACACCTGGGGGTAAACAAAGATGGTTTACAGCCAAACAACCTGTCAATGAGTTTAAAAGTGAGATTTATTCTGCAGTTGCTCATATTGTGTTACATTCTGGAAAGACCTTGAAAGTTAAACTATATGATACAAAACAACACGTGTCATGTTTCACTTATTTTGACCATTTCTGCAACATGATTAACATCCTGATTTTACTGGGGAAATTTCATATTCAGAAAGGCAAAATTTCATGTCAGTCCATGTCAGCATCAAAGAAGAAGTCTATCCTTTTTTAATTTAAGTATTTTTTTAATCTTTTTTGAAATTTGATCTGTTTCTTTTATTTAAGAACTGACATGTCTGATTGTTTGTAAAATTTCGAATTTAAATAAATAAATGAATAACTCAGAAGAGTTTGAAAGTGAGAGAGTAGATGCACGGTTGAAATAAAGGACAAAATTTTCATTTTTTCTTGAAATTTTGTTTCTTTTATTTAAGAACTGATATATCTTTAATTTAAATAAAAAAATAAAAAGTTTGAAAGTGAGAGTAGATTCCTAGATGAAATAAAGGACAAAATTAGGCGGGGGGGGGGGGTCAGAGAGTGAGCGTAGAGACACGCACTGAGAACAGAAGAGAGTCTTGCTTGTTCTACACATGGATCCCTAAAACACAACAACACCACACAAAGTGGGGACTAGTTAACACCAAACCAGTGTGTTTAATGAAAAGCCGAGCAGTGCCTTTGTCTTAAAGTGTCTCTCCCGTGTGGATGCGCTGCCTGGAGAGCAGCACAGAGGACTTGGAACTTTTTGTTCTTTTTTTGTTTCCTCGCAGCCTCCGAGCAACGTATGGGACATCCGTCTTAATCTCGCGTCATTAACGGCCATAATCACATCCCAAGATAATTAACAGCCGTTGATGTGCACAGAAGAATACACACGCCCCAAAACTACATGGCTTCTTAACCGTCAACAAACTCGTAGCAAATTCACAAGACGAAAACAGCCCCCGAGAACTGAGCTCTCGGTTTGTACGTTTCAATCTTACCGTCGTCGCCTTCCTCCAGGATATTGGGAGGAGGGATGTCCATAATCTTCTTTAAAACAAACGGGAAGGACTTCTGCGGAGCCATCGAGTCGACGGTACCGCTGGGTTGAGGCACCGTTGCCACCGCGGCTTTGCCAGGCATTGTTCCCTGCCAAGCTCCGAGCAGACCGGGGCGATGTTTCCGAACGTTACCGACAGAGCCGCCTCCTCCACGGGGAGAAACAACTGAAGCGAACGACGCGCGGCTCTTTCGCCTGTTTCACCGTTATTGCTGCGTTCAAGGCCCGTTTGTCAATATCAACGCTTTTGGGTGCAAAACAACACTACACTAACCCCTTGTTCTACGTGCCCACCGGGCGCCCTCGTTGGATATTCGCGAGACGCGTGCCACGCCCACTCAGGGAATAGTAGAAGCTGATTGGCTGTCAGCTCTGTCCGTATAAATATATATCACAGCGGCTGTAAACGCACGGAGGACATGGACGCGCTTTTTTGTTTATGTAGTAGTACTTCTATGACTGATCACCGAGATTGATTCTTCATATAGAAACGTCCTCACGTGCGTGACGTGAACCGCAACAAGAACATATAGTCTCGTGCAGCCATCATAATAATATCTTTTCCTCAGACAAACCGCAGCTGAAACATGCTAAAAATCACACATGTGCACACTGTAACCATGACCACAACAACCACTTCATACACGCACAAAGTACACCACATCATAAAATGCAGTGTGCTCGCGCAAAGTCTCTTCGGTGGCTCGAGTCAACCCTGCAAGACAAGAACATACTCGTGGCCAAACACGTGCCCCCCGCCCCCTTCTGATATCACGTGAAAGTACAATCTGTCGAGGGGCGTTGCTTCACGTACTTAGCACGTGCGAGCCAAGGAGAGCGAGATGGAGCGGGCACGCGCCCCCATCCTTCGAACAGCTGGCACGGGACCCAAAGGCAATACACATTCAGCTGCAAATAACACTATATAACATAACAAATATATATATATAAATGTATTAATAACAATAACACTGTCTTTATATTAATTTACCAGTCTGATTGTACTTCCTATAATGAAATATAATGCATGGACTACACATTATAGTTTATTGTTCTCTTTTAAAGTAACCCTATACAATGCAATTTAAGTATTTTTTTTAACGAAATACACGCCAACTATATATTAATTTTCCACATCAAACGCGCGCAGTGCCAAACAAGAGGTAATCTCACGTTTCCATGCACACGCCGCTTGACTGCACGCGACAGTGAGCGCGCGAAGATCCCTCGCCTTCATCAGCAGGATGTTTGGGTTCAGGAACACGATGTTCAAACCGCACAACAGACAACACCCCACCATCACCACTAATCTGTGTGTGTGTGTGTGTTTTTTTATATATCTTCACCACAGTGACCTCATGGTAAACAAAGTGTGTGTGTGTGTCCGCTGTAATTGCCCCAGCAGAGAGGAGGCCAGTTCAATCCCCGCTGCAGCAGACTGAACACAAAGAGACCAGGCTGATGCACCGTTTACACTCCCCTCTTATCTACATGAACAGTACTATAAGCAGAGATAAGTCCAGTTTCAGGTGCCCCAGCCTTTGCAGTGAGCACTTGTTAAACATTGTGCAATCGTAACACACAAGATAGTTTTCTTGATGAATTTCACCCTGACTGGATAGTGATAAGGAAATATATTTATACATGTAATATACAATAAATCACTGTAGATGTTTTACTAACAGGGAATTGTAATATATACGCAGGTGGATGTTATAGTCAAACTGCCACTTTGTTAAACTGGTGCCAATTTATACAGAAAGACGGATGTTTTTTCTGCATGTTTGTATTGTATTATAGGAGAATCGTCACATTAATAACACATTCAAAACTTATGTGTTTTTTTCAGTTTGCCTGCTGACTCTTTTATTTTTACTTCATTTTTTCACTGTTCAAGCGCAAACACACAACATACTGCAAACTTTATATGAATAGTGTGGATTGTTGGCTTCCTTTACCTGAACTGAGAGGAATATAAACAATGACTGATCCGTTGCCTCAGACCTCCTGACCTGTTTTATAGTTTATAGTTATATCGCTAGTGTCATGTGCATATTTTATTTGACTATATTTAGGCAATATCACACGAGAGGAAGCGCTGCCTTGAAAACTATGACCGAATCACAGCCGTGCTGATATTAACAACAGATTATGATTTGTTTGTTGATTTTATCATTTATTTGGCTACGACAACACAAATAGTTCGGCAACCGGACTGTTGTTAAGCAAGTTTGTTACAATCTAAGATAGATAACGACGAATGCTAATTAATGTTTACTAAAACACCTGTGAAGCGGAGTGATACTTGTAGTTAAAAGTCCCAGTGCTGTTATAACTCTATATCAGCACTCATGGAATGACTCTAGTCCAATCAAATTACTTGGTCAGAACTAACTGTTGTAAAAATGTATATATTTGAATGATTTTAGTCTTTATTTATTTTAACATGTGCTTCCAAACTTAATTTCGTTGTGTTTTTGATGCAATGACAATAAAGAATCTATCGATCTATGAATATGAATGGACACAGCTTGAGACGCTCTCTTTGTCAGGATGATCAATATCAAGGAGGCAGGTGTAACTGGGTCAGTCTGGCTGTGCAATCACAAACTTTTCTTAAATCAGTGTACGGTAAAAAAAGTAGTCATCCCTGGTTACCTGCCAAATATCCTGCAGAGCTTGTGTCCTTTGTGTACACTGCAAAACATGCAAACCTCCCCCTCCCTGTCTTAGAGTAAACACGTCTCAGTGCCCTCTACTGCCTGAAACACTGTATTTACTCTCGTGAAGCAGCTCGGACTGGAAGTGGCCTTGAGGTCCAACTTTTATTTCAGGACAAATGAGAACAACAGGGTTTTGTATGCACACAAAACACATCCAATCAGTATTACTGTGGTGTCCTGTCTGCAGCAGGAGGAGCCAGGCTGTTTTACAAATGTACAACATTGAGAGAGTGCAGCGCCGTGAGAAAACGCAGCATGAGGCACAAAGCTTCTCTCTCCTCGTCTTTCCTCTTTGTTAGACACTGGAAGACATAATCACTGTAAGAAAAACTAATGATTGATCTGCCGGTGCCGTTTACAGTCCGGTGCAGATGATTGATTGATCTTTCTTTTGGTCTCAATGATAAAAGAGAATATGTAATCATTATTGACTGCAGCTAAGACAACAAGGTGACCCATCAGTGTCATATTATTAGCAGGCACCAAAAACAAGACAGTAAAACTGTCGGTGCAGATATGTGTCTAGATCAATAACAATAAACTCATGCACCAAAGGCATGTATAAGTTGGAAGAATTAATCATATTCAGTATATCAAAATGATGCAAGCTTCTTCAATTAATTTTTAAAAATTAATTAGTAATTTGTGGCATCTTCTTTTAGTATTTGTCTTATTTTATCTAATATTATGTCTAATAATATGCTATAACTTACTGTCTAGTATTGACGAGGAGACCAGCAGCCTTTAAAGGTTTTAGAACAATTTAAGTTTTATACAAGAAGTCAGATTTTTCATATCTAATAAAGTTATGCCGGTCAGATAATGTAAAGAAACTATTCTGTCACATACTTGAAACATGAGAATTGTATTCTGCTCTACGTGGCATCATACTGTGAGACACATTGCAAACAAAAGGCAGGAAATTCATCCGTGCTGGCGCGCTTAGATCGTAAAATTCAATGAATAATGCCCCATTTATGTTTGAGTTTACAAACAGGTCATTATTTTTGCATGTATTTAACATGTGCTCCAATGACCCAAGGTGTATATTATATATCTAACTATAAAATATGTGAGCAGCTTTGTTAAAACAGTGCAACAGGTGGTAAAAGAGCCACTTTAACTTGGATGTGAAAGTCTGATCATACACAGTAAGAGACAAGCAGCACATAAAAACAGAATTTCTCTTCGATGCTCGGCAAATTGTCACATTATTCTCAACTGTGACCAACAGAAACTATCACTAAGTAAATTTACAGACCATATTAAGAGGGTCTAGTACATGTCTGAAAGTGGCAACAGGTGGGGGAATATTTGGAATCTGATTGTTCCCACCTTTAGGCAGCACAACAACAAGTTATAGTTCCTGCACGCATCGCAATGACAGATCAATATAACTAGGTTTTGATCCCAACATATCTCAATCAATTACAGCCAGGGAACTTTGCTGCTGAGCCCCCCCCCCCAACTCTCTTTTCTTGTCTCTCAAATGAAGCCTAAAAGAGAAAGTAAGCAAGAAAGTATAGATGAAGAACTGAACGCAGAAAGAAACTAATGATGTGATGAAACCCAGAGTGAGGACTGTTTCAGTGCTGTTGCATCAGTAGCAGGCTGCCGTGTTGTGACTGTACGGAGAAAGAGCACAGACAGTCTGCTGACACAATACAGCTCGCTGTCTTTGATCATCCGTCCACATTTCCACATCAACTGGACACATTTCCATAAAAGCCTGAACCTGCAACAGGGGTAACATCAACATACGACTGCGGTCACCTCAGACTACAGACCAGACAACATTTAATGCCATTCAAATGACTGTTGGGAGTTGTTTTGTGAAAGTTGTCTATTAGTAACTTTAAACCAATGGTGAAAAAAGTATTAAACTCAGTATTTCTAACTTTATTAAAGTCATTTTAACAGCTAATATTATGCTCAGTTACCAGACTATTAGGTATACCTAACTAAAACTATTACTATTAGTGAGGCTAGGCTTTATTGTAGAAACACCTCTCTGTATAACAATAATAACAACTTTATTTATATACCACCTTTTAAAAACAGTTTACAAGTGTTTTGACAAACAAATCAAAAGCAACAATGCAATACACAAACTACTCACAATTGAATCAACAGCTCTAAAACTGATCTTTATATCCTTATTTAGGATCCAGCTTCTTCATGTTTTGCATGTAAACTCTTTCCCAAGAAAAGTGGGACCATTTAGTCACATAAATGTAATGCACTAGAAAGTAAAGCGCGTCCCTCAACTTCTACTCCACTGCAGTAAAATTCAAAGTAACACCACATGGAGGAGGCTACCACAAAAATGCACCTCAAGTGCTTGAATAAATACAATCCACCATAACAAATACGACGCTTTGACACGTTTCAACCCTGATTTTTCTGCTTGAAAAACACATGTATATTTATATATATATATATTTATATTTTCTTACCGGTGTCATCAAAGGCAGGGAAGGAGAAAGGATAGTCGGCCAAGGACTTGAGGAGATCAGGAACGTCGCTCCTGTCTTCAAAGACGCTTTGGTTCGCAGTTGACATGATGAACAACCTGTGAAAACTGTCTTAATGTCTAAAAGTCCAACTGCGAGTGAGAAACGCTCGAGCTGCGTCTGTGAGTGAGTACTTGTGTGCGCGCGCGTGTTTGTGTGCGTTCAGTGACTTTTTTTTTTTTAACCAACTTTGCAGCAAGTACACATCACGAGGACTCCAGCATGTGTCCAAACAGCCTGTATTATAATGAGCAGAAGAGAGGCCACGCCCCCTCACTCCCTTTAATCGTGTCGATTCGATGGCAAGTAGAGCACGCGCCTGTCAGTCACGCTGCTGAGCCAATGAGAAGAGAGGAGGGGGCGGGCTCTGTTGAATGATCACCACAACAACAACAGCGCCCAGCCGAGCACATTTCTCTCCACGCACGGCAGCACGTGCGAGCCGGAGAGGGCTCGAGGCCAGGTACAAACGAGCTCCCCGCGCCATCTAACGACCTGAGTGAGTAATGCACTAAAAAAAAATAAAGGTGATGGCACAAAGTAGAGGAAGTATTACCAGTCCTCCATCATGTTAGTTAAGCATTTTATTCATACATGCAATATTTAAAGGTTCGACCCCGTATCAATGGATTATAAAGATCAGCTCTATGAACTTAATCCATTCTCAAAAATCACTTAAATTTTTCTTCTTTTTTTAATTATATTTCAGCACCGATACGTTTCAGCACTCTAATATGCCTGAAAAGTGTTTTGTACTTGAATAATTGAAAGAATAATTAAAAAAAATAAAAAAGTTTCCATGTTGTTCCATTGCAAGTAAAAGTCCTGTATTCAAAACGTTATTTATTAAGTATTTTAGCAACATTTACTCATCAAAAACAGCAGCACTTAATGCAGAACATTGGCCCCTGTGAGTGTTATATTATTATACATTTTATATTTATTAATTTCTTAATGTTTAAAGCTGTTGGGTGGTTTTAGCTCTATTACAATGTATCATGAACTCATTATGTTTTACATATAAAATCTGAATTTGTTAAGTTTCAAGTAAAACTAGAATTAGACCTCATTGTTGTATCCCTCCGCCACTCAGACTAGTTCCAGGTTACAACCCTATTTATCCAGAGTCGGATAAAATATGAAGCATTTGCGTGAAATTTTGTCATAATTTCTATGTTCTGTCTGGAGTTATGGCTTGAAAGTGTTCTCTGAGGTCGCCGTGACCTTTGACCTTTAGCCACCAAAGTCTAATCAGTTGCTCCTTGAGTCCAAGTGAACGTTTGTACCAAATTCGAAGAAGTTCCATCAAGGCGTTTCTGAGATATCGTGTCCACGAGAATGGGTAGGATGGACGTAGGTATTATACGGACGGCTCTGGCTGTCGCCGGCGAGGAGGAATAACAAACAAGTCTTTGCTTCAGTACAAATTAGAACTGAACAATACAATTTTTATTTGTATTAAAAGGTTGAGAGTGAATCATCATTTGTGGGGTGTATTTTTAATGCAGTCAGTCTTTGAACATCTTCTCTCTGAGTGAACTATGGAATGAAAGCGCTCGTCTCTTTATCGAGTCCCTGCTTTAACTGAAGGGAAAAGAACAAAACAATATTCAAAATTAAATATAAACCCTGTTATTTATGTTCCGTGATTAACTGTGTTTGTGTCTGCTGTGTTTTTCAGAGCAGCACCAACATGAGTCTTACTTTCACAGCATTGAGTAATTTGTATTGAGGTTTTAGCTGGACAGTTAAGAGCAATACAAGTAGCTCCATACATAGTTTGAGGAAATTAAAAATTTACCAATTCAAAGTAAATGGTATACGGCATTTCGAGAAAGCAAATCACAAGCTGGACACCTTGTTAGTTTGATCTTGTCACCTGTTCATTTTGGTTTTGTCTTGAAAACTCTTAATACACTGATATGATTCTTTGGTCGTTACAAAAATGGCTCACAAAGCCAAAACATCAATTCTTCTCAGTCCTGAAGTAAAAAGTTGTACTTCCCAAAGTCAAACTCATCGGGCATGATGAGCATGTCTTCCCTGGCTTTGGCCAGCTTCTGTCGCAGGAAGTCCCGCCTCTCGGTCCACTCCCGCAGCTCCTCCGGGCTGTGGGCGTAGTCGCAGCACACACCGTCAGCGCAGCCGCCATCCAACCTGTCAGTCATTAACAGGATGATTAACGTTTTAACATTATTCATTTTCATTTTATTTCTCTCGTTGGTGATAGTTTTCTGTGTCTGTGAGTGACTCCCTTCACATTACGCATAAGTTATGTGAGACACTGTTAATATAGTTCTATTATTCTGAGCAGTTTTAAGATAGAAATTCATCACATCTACTTAAAACTACAATCACCTCCTTGTGGTTTTATCCCTCCGCCACTCAGACTAGTTCCAGGTTACATCCCTGTTTATCCAGAGTCAGATAAATTATTAACCGTTTGTGTGAAATTTTGTGTAATGGCTAGGAAATGTTTTCTCAGGTCACCGTGATCTTGACCTTTGACCACAAGAATTTTATCAGTTCATCCTTGAGTTAAAGTGAACGTTTTTAACCAAATTTGAAGAAGTTCCGTCGAGGCGTTGTTGAGATATCGTGTCCATGAGAATGAGACGGACGGACAACCTGAAAACAAGATGGCTGCTGCTCCGACTCTCGCTGACACAGAGGAATAAAAATGTAGTGAAGTGAAGCAAACCTTTATACTCCTATACAGTATACATATACAGTATATATATATATATATTAAAAACAGAACTATAATGTTCAGGACCACATGTGAGTGGCTGAATCCCGTCAGGTCTACCATTCAGACGACGTTAGAAACACTGGAAACAGTTGTCGAGTATATTTTTTTCTTAAATGTTGGTTTAACATCGGCAGCGTGTCCCTGGTTTAAAGTTTAAAGTTTCTCTGACTGTCTCTTCCACATCACTGCAGCAGGGTGATAAGTTAAACCACCGAAGATCCACAAAATAACAGATTTTCAAGGATCCCTTCAACAGTGACTCATTTTCTGAATCCAAACACTGATCCAGGAAAAAGGTCTTACTTGGGGCAGAGCTCAAAGTTTGTTCCAGGAAAGCGGTAGCTCCACGTCAGAGCCTCGTCTTCTCCCTCACAGCTGAACACTCGGTCCTTGTGCTTCTCGGTGGAGATATGCTGCTGCCACTGCCGCTCGCTGTTACTGTGTTTGCCGCACAGACGGCAGTGGAAGCCGCTCTAAAGCACAGAGAGGAAGCAGCGGCGTTGACCGGTCAGGAAGGTTTAGCTTTGGTGCCAGTGGAGCCATTTTTTTTTTTTAATTTTTGGTCTTTGACTTTATCGAACTGAAAATCAAATGTAAAACCTACCATTGGTTCGGCATAGTCAGTCGGCATGATGATATATTTCTCTTCTGGAACGGGCTGGGTGAACATGGCGCCATCTGCCTGGCGGTTCTGGGCAGTTAATGTCAGCCACATGTCGTAGATCTGCTGCATGTCCAGCACTGCAGGCACAGAGAAAGAAAATCTCATGTCACTGCGAGGAAGTTCAGCAAGAGACAGAGTCAGATGGTAGGTGTCTTTATGTAAACAGGGTTCCTGCACCATAATCAATGCTTTTAAAGACCTCAATACATTAAGATTAAGACCGAACCATGTGGAAATGACTGTTTTACTCAGACTTTTGTTGCTGCTCTCCTGTAAATGCTCTTTTTAAATAGAGGCGGAGTAGAAAGTTCAGATGTAAACACCTGCAGCAGCACATGTATTAAAGCACCACACCATTCATTTTGCATGTTGGTAGAAATAACTATTACTTCCTATTACTGCTAAACATTTTCTAAATCCTACGACAGAATTTCAGATTCATTTTTAGATAAAAAGAGGGAAAATAACATGTTCTTAATGTTTAGTAGCGCAGACCTTCACTTTGCACAGTAACTTTTCCTTTGTCTAATTATCTACCTGCGAACCATTAACTGTAGATTTATGCCAAACTACCAGGTTAGCGCCCCCCAGTGTGTCGGCATAACCACATCTTAAAAATAAATGTGTGTCTGTGACATGAAAAAGGAGCACCATCATTATTATTGCCTTGTTAGCTTTGTTTTGTTCTACCAGTCTTAAACAAACTATCTGCAAATTTAATACCTACAATAAATTCAGGGTAAATACAGTATAAGACATTTTCAGACCTTATTTTCCTTAAGAGTCCTTACTGACCCGCAGGAACCCTGATTAATGCAGGAGTTAAACTGCTCTTAATCTCCATTGTACAAGTTTCTCGACGTCACACAGCGGTATAGAGAGATATTTAAGCTTTAAGGGTAATGACGACGTATTGACCATGACGATATCTGCCAACCTTTCCTAGATTATCTTCCTGGTGATCTTGTTGACCTATTGCAGAAGGGGCGCCCACACTGTTTTTATTTTATTTATTTTATTAATTTATTTATTTTTATCATTATTTTTTTGCGTGTGTTTTGTTCTCTTCATCCCTTCGACATGATAACAATGTAAACAAGAATGTTTATGATGGTAACAATGTGGTTGTGATAATTCATTTGATGCAAGTTAATTGATTTCTGTTTGGCAGTTTGGGAACATCTGTGCTGTCTCGCTCTGTGTGTGAAAAATTAATAAAATATTGTTAAAAAAGAAAACTAGCTCAAACTCGTAACTTATGGCGGGTAAGTTTTCCATGTTACTTTATTATTTAATGGAAACTGTAATGCAGAGTGAATTTAATAACTCACAGTCATTATTCTTCATATACATCCACATCTCCCTCTCCTCTTGGCTGTGAGCGAAGGTGCACTTCCCTGTGTAGTTACATTTCCTTTTCTCCAAAACCTGGGTGCATATCTGTGAAGACAAGACGTCCTGCTGTTAAACACAGATCACCATGTGCATGACAAACCTTCTTCGAATCTTTGAAGAAGCAGACGTACGAAGCGCAGCAAACATTGCAAGAAAGAGAGAGGAAGACAAAAATATTTGATGCGTTCAAGTGCAAAAGGAACAGAGGACGCACACCTACATCATACTGCAGAGGGAAGTTCTTGGCGTGTGGCAGTGGTCGGACCTGAACCCATTTACTTCTCTCTAAGGACTTGACCAGCAGGACCCGTCTGTCTTTAGTCCAGCTGAACACGATGTCACAAGGAGGACAGATAAAGTTTAGTTTAATGTGTTTCATCGTGATGTTGGCAGGTTTATCTGAAGGCACCAGTGATTTGTGTTTGTGATATGTTTTTTTTTAAGCATGCTTTAAAATAATTTCATTCCCACATCCTGATATTTAACATCAACATGTCTACGTTTAAACAAAAATCTTACATTAAATACACATTTTCTTGACTTTTACAGGAACTTTGCAGATATATTTATATATTTCTACTCACGGATGTCTGGCCTTGGCAGTGCAATACTTGAGCGCCTTTTCTGGTTCACTGATCAGACCATCCCGCCAGCACTGAGCGCAGGCAAACTTCATCTTCATGTTCAGATTCTTCCCAGCTCCTCCTCCTCCTCCTCCTCCTCCTCTTGGTTTGCTCCCACCACCTCCAGAAGACAACTGCTTACATTAAAAGAAAAGAAACAGTGTTCTTCTTCATCTTTCATTTCTCATCTGTCAAAATCAACTGGCAGATTTTTATGACTCAGAGAATTCACAGAGACGATGCAGGACAAGTTACGTTTAAACGCTGCGTGCTGCAGAAACAGTGTCCTTTCAATAAAAATGATAATTGTCTCTTACTCTATTCCCTTTCTGTTTGCTTGAGTCTTGCTCCTGCTTGTCATAATATTTTGCAGCTACTTTCACAATCTCATCAGGGCTGATACCTGTAAATATCACAAACACACAGACACAGAAATTAAGTTTCATTTTGAGAGAAACACTACAAGCTGCTGCCATCTTCTGGTTTTCACTCGCAATATTGAAAAGGGACATTTCTACACTACCTTTAATTATCATTATTTTAACCACATTTAATAACTTTTTGCCTTGTAGAGGAAGGCAAATAACACATTTGTGGTATGTAATGACCGTTTATATGTAATCCTGCTTTAATATGGTTGATTTGATCTGGTCAACAATAATAAACTGTGATGAAATCCAGAACAGGCTCAGACATGGAGCAGGAGGACCATCAGTGCCACAAGAGGATTGTTCAATTAACAGTTTTGATTGATTTTTTCGGCCACTTGAGGGCAGCAGAATAAACCGTCATCATATGGACAAACTAATACGTTCACACACAGACATGGAGCAACAGCATCATACATTTGGAGTCGTATTTCTGTCCCCCTGGTAAATATAAGTTTAATATTCACGCTTTCTTTTTCTCCTTTTGGTCTCTACCAACTCCTGAGGGAGTTTTTTATTCTTTTATTTTATTCTTTTTAAAGAGCTTTTTCACTAAAAACTGCTGCAGGAAACGACACTGATGAGAGTGGGGAATGTGAATTAGAACAGTGACAGTTAATTAATTAATAAATATTGATAAATGCATCTTTAAAAGTAAGCAAATATGAATCAAAAGTGTTTACACCTAATTCTACTTTAATGATATATTTTATCATCTCTTCAGTGTTTACCTTTTTTTTTTTCCAACTTAACAAATGAAATCGTTTCGACTGTTTCCACTGCATGTGTCTGATGTGTCAGACCGACACGTCACCTGTGTCTGTACCTGTGTGTCGCTGCACTCTCCAAGTCTTGAGCTCGATGATGGAGTGGGCGTAATGGCAGTTGTTCTCTCTCTGGCAGCCGTACCGGATGGCTTGGTGGCACAAATCCAGCTGGCACAGGACGCTCAGCGGACGGACCTTTCTGTAGTTCACATTGTGGGTCCTCACCACAAATGCCAAACACCTGACGGGCAAAGAGGCAGAAATCAAGGTGTGTTCAGGAGTGAGAGAAAGAGTGAGAGTTAGGTAAGAGGACGAGGACTCGCAGGGAAACATTCGTTGGAAACATGCTCACTTGTTAGCGTCAAAGGTGTGGCGAGCGTCCAAGTTAGAGCAGGTGGTGTGACTGACTCTGCAGCGCTTACTGATGATTCTAGGTTTACTGTCATAGCATTCCTACAGAGACAGAGACACAAATAAAGAGGAGAAGAAACAAAACAAAAACAAGACCAACAACAGGAAGGAACAAAGAAGACACAGACACATTAAGTTAAGAGGATGAATGTTGTAATAAATGAATATCAATGAATAAATCTATTATGATTATTATGAGACATTGTGTTTGTTATGAGACGGATTATGAGACAAGGTTTCAAGTAGTAAACATTCAATACACAACTGGGAACAGAGTTCCTACTCAGTATCACAGAGTTAATGTAAAACATTATGGGAATGCAACATAAAGCATAAAGCATGCACAAATAATGATCATAAAAAATATTACGTTTAATTAAGTACATAAGCAAATAATTAAATACTTAATTAAATAAATCACGACAAATATTTCATTTCTACATTTCAATTAATTTTAAAGTATTTATTTCTGTATTTTTATTTGTATATTTTTGTGTCTGTAAAGCACGACTTGTTTGTTGTTTATTTATTTATTTAATTACTTTATTTATTTATTAAGCATTTAATTATTCATGCATTCATTTTTAATTTTATTATTATTATTAATAACAATAATAATAATAGTATTATTATTAGTATCATCATCTTGTGTGTATCTTATGTTTTTTGTTGGACTATATCCTATTGGCTTTGCTTCTTTATTGTTGGAAGTTTAAAAATATTAATAAAAAAGGAAAAAAGTCATTTTTTGTCGCGCATGTTTTCAGGAAAACGTGAACACGTGAAAACATTTTGAGAAAACATAATTTCTGGAAAATATTACAGGAGAATAGTAATATACATAGTATACATTAGAAAACAGTAAACGTCAATATTTCTACAATACACCATAATTGAATAAATATTAAAACAGAAAAGAGAATTATAAAATACATAAGAATATATATAATAGCAAAAATAAGTAAAACAGACATGACAGAGAGTTGAAAGCAGGTTTGTGAAATGATAAATGAACTGTACCAGTGCACTGACCTGACAGAGGAACATGAACGTGCCCTTGTGTTCCTGCAGGAGGCGTATGATGCTGTTTACAGGGTCCAGTGTGACAGACGCCGGTTCAAACAGCAGGCTTCTGTCCAGCATCCCCTTCCTCTCCTCCGTCCAAACATCGATCTCCAGCTGGTTGTAGGCAAACGTACAATCCTCTCTGTACTTACAGTCGCCCGTATTCAGCAGCTCTGGACGCGAAGGAAAACACACACCAGTCATGTTAACCACTCCTTTTTGATTAAAACTTCCCTCTTTAACTACACAGCTGTGTGAATTACAGTAGTTAGCATGTGACTGGCATGGCTGGTTTCCTGGATCCATTAGTCTCCAGTTCCCTCACAATCAATGTGGTAGTTTAGTTAGCATTCTTGTACAGCTTTTGCTTTTTGTGAAGTGAGTCTGCAACCATGCTAGCGGCTGCAAGGCACAGCACTGCTTTGAGCTAAATGCTAACATCAGCATTGCTAACATGCTCACAATAACAATGCTAACATGCTTACATTTAGCATAGGTACAATGTTTACCGTCTTAGTTTAGCGTGCTAGCATGCTAACGTTTGCTAATTAGTGACACAAAGTTCAGTTGAGGCTGATGGGAATGTTTTTACAGTGTCAGAAAATAGTTTCTTGTGGCACTAGATGAATTTAGAGGATCACCAGGTCATCAGGGTTTATCCTCTGGGCACCAGATCTCTGGACCAACTAGTCTGCCCATGTAACACTTTTATTATATAGACATTTCTTTGCTGGACCAAAGTGTTTTTTGAGGGTAATTGAACTGTAGGAGAAGCTTTATAGTTTACAGATGGGACACAAACATCCAGGTGTTTTCCCTCCAACAGCTACACACTAGTATCACGCCTATGAGAGCGCCACATGTGCGTATTGACCAACCAGTAACATCCCGTCCCACTAGCGGGAGTGTAAGATGGGAGGAAGTTATGGAGGTTTGAAAGTGCGTCGCTGGACACCCTGATATCAATCTTCTATTTGATTCTGTGATCCTTACTCCTGCAGAGCACAAAGGGCCCTCTGAAGGACGTCCGAGCGGGCATCGGTCGCACTCTGGTCCACTCTGAAGGATGACCCGCCTTTCGTCTACACAACAGAATGTCTCGCTCGCAGCTGTGAACCAGGTCCGGCTTGTGAACAAACGTATTTATCCCTCGACCTGAAAACAAATGTTACACAAATGTACAGAATTAGGAACAAAAGTAAGAGCTGATGTTTCTGTTATTGAACGATATGATTGTAACAGTCCCTCCAGGATTTCACAGGCTCTTTTTGGGATTGTTGTGGCTAAAATTCTGATTTCACAGAAGCTTTTGATTAACATTGTGATGCATGTTGCAACGTTTTTAGATCACAATAAGACTCCACTTCTTAAGGATTTATGAATGACTTATAGCTAGTTTTTTAATTAGCTGTTAACACTTTATTATAAATCATTTATAAGATGTTATAACAAATTAGACAAAAAGGACAACAGTGACCTGTTGCTTGCCAAATAGTGAGTCCACTTTTATTTGTACTGTGAAGTTACTATTTATAACTGGTAAAAAGGAGCCTTAATGTAAGGTTTAAAACACATCATTACCAAGTTATTATAAGGCTCTTTTACCAGTTATATAATATATATATAATAATAGCAACTCATTAGTCAGATTAATGAGTAGTACGCATTAACTTGATCTTGCCAAATAGTGAGCCTGCATCAATGTATGAACTTGTTTATAATTGTTTATTTATGATTTTTAAATTAATAACCTAATTATACACCATTTATAAATCCTTTACAAAGGGCAGTCTTACTGTACAATGCTACTACAGTTTTTTTTTTTTTTTTTTTTTACAATGAAACTGCACAAGCAAATAAAAATTGCAAAAATTGTCACTATTTATAACGTAGAGCTTTTTATGTGTGAATAGGGATTTAACAACATGCTTCAAAACCAGAAACAATGAAGTGAGTTCAGTGACGTACATCAAGGTTTTGTACAGGGACTGGTGTGATTGGTTCGACTCCGCGGGAAACTGTGATGATGATTGATCAAATTTGCAGAAAAGTTGCGGTGATTGTGACAAAAATGTGAGGTCGTGCAGAATTCTCGGGGAATTTGCGACACTCTGGAGGGACTGATGTAATTCTGTGAATATCTACAAATGAAGACTTGATCATTGTGATTTTTCTAATGATTACAGTTGCTCTGAACGTACCTTCCCGAGGGAAACAGGCGGAGCAGGCCTGCAGGAACTCGTGGGTGGAGGACAGCGGGTTGGAGACTGTAACCAGCGCTTGGTTTTTCCTCTCCTTTTTTTTTGCCACAGTAAGAATAAGATTTCAGTTAATGCCAACAGAACAAACAAAAAAAAACAGCTGGTAACAGAAGCCAGATAATCTCTTACTCTGTAGTTGTTCTTTGCAGGTCGTATTACTGGAGCTACAGCGGTGAGAGCGCTCGGGATACCTGAGGAGCAATAAGAGAACATCAGTTACATGTTATGGAAGTTGGTTGAAATTTAAATCAATCACACGGTACCTGTATAATACATCTCTTGTGCACAGATTTATATAAGGATTTATATTTTTTTTTCTTGTAAATTACAGCAGTTCTTCAGACATCTAAAAGTCCAAGGTTTGGGAATCACAACCGTAGGTTAAAGCCATTAGATAATTGCAGCATCTCTTAGCAAAGAATAAACGATAATCACCAATTGAGCTGAAATTGGAGAGCGAGTCCAGGCCTGTTCCCCCGACGGAGACCGCCGGCAGAGTCACTGAGGGAAACGAGTCCAGGGCATCAAGGGAGTCGAGCTGGTTCACAGCTTTCGCACCAACTGTAGGGACATCACCACACTGACCAGCTGGGTCAGAGACGGTCTCCAGGGTGTCTAGTTCGTCCAGCAAATCATCAAGGGACTTTTCTTCCGTCTCCAGTTCTGTTTTGGATTCATTAACTTCCTCAGCAGCAGCAGCACTTGGCGTTGTATCCAAGAAGTCATCCAGGGAATCGAGGCCATCCAGGGTATCCAGCGCCGCAGAGGTCAGGCCTAAATTCGGAGTACCTGCACCGCCTCCAACTCCTGAGAAGTTGTCTAAGGCATGAAGACTCTGTGAGGTCAAAAGGTCGTCCAGGGTATCCAGTGCTGCAGTCGTAGTGCTTTGCTCGCCACCTGGAAAGGAGTCCAGGGAGTTGAGTTGGCTGACGGCCGAGATGAAGAAGGCCGGGGGGAGCTGGGGTGTTGGGTCGGGCAGGACCGAAGGAACCGTGTGCGCGGAAGTGGAAGTCCTGCTGGGAGGCGAGAATGGCGCCTGGATGCATGTCTGTAAAACATGGAGAGAGGAATTTGAGTGAAGATGTGCGACAGAAGAAGAAGAAAAAAGCACAATATTGATTTCTGTTTCTTTTCTTCCAGGTTTGATTTTCAGTGACTCGCCAAGTTCATGCCATTTGACACAGCAGCCATGTCTGAAAATATCAGATTTCCTAAAAGCTGCATCACACAGTATCTTTTTGGACGACCCCCCCCCCCCCCAAGGAATGAGAGGGGCTGCGTTTTTAGACAGAGGGTAAATATCTGTGTGAAGCCAGCGCGAACAATTTTTTTTTTTTACCTCAGTTGACTCCTGCTCAGCAGGGAAGCAGTCGAGCAGGCTGTCTAAGTCATCTCCCATCAGCTCGGAGTCCTCCAAAGCGTCCACCGTGGCGGGCACCGAGGAGGCGGCGGGTGGCGCGGGGGGGATCACGGACTGAGGCATGCTGCGGAAGCTGACTGCAGAGAAGCAGAGGGAATTTATTATCCACAACGTTTTTCTTCCAGAGCTTTTTAATGGAAACAGACAGTGGAGACTCTCTCGTGCTGCCTGTATTGTTAATGCAGAACAGTTTTAATCAAGTTAAAGTCACGATGAATTCACACCTGGTGCGAGGCCACTCAGAGGATTCACACCATTTCCTAAATTAGCACCAGACACCTGGAAGAGGAGAGGGTGGGAAAGAAATCACTATGTTTTCATAACTGGAGAATTCACACACTAATTAAATGCAACTAGATTCGTTGGGGAGTTGAGGAATACAACCGCAAGATCGTAATTCTATTTTTTATGTTTGGCGCTGAATGTTCGAGACCATGTGGAACTCGCCTTGACGGCTTCAGCAGTCGTGTTTCCGTTTGTGACGTCTGTCGTTATAAGTGCGTCCTCCTGGAAAAGACAAGATAACAAAGCGGATGTGAGAGACAAAGCAAAGTGAGGACATTAGAGTTTATGACTGTAGAGTCATTTCTTTTCTATATTGCATATGTCTTCACAGTAGCCATTTCTTTAATGTCTCCCGATGCTAATAGCCCATTGCACTGCATATTTAATTTAGAGGACTTTAAATTCGATGAGATAACTTGATTTTTAAAAAAGGTATTTAATTCACTGGATTGGTCAAACAGTATCCAAAACTATCCAAATGAGGTTTACTCTAAATATACTATGCCATGATTTACATGTTGATTTCCAAATATAAAGTCACGAGACTGTGATTAAAGAGTTCATCCACCTGAAAACCTAGAAACATTCTTCTCTTGGATTCCTCAGTGAATGAAATCTAAACAATAATCGTTTTACCGACCTTTGCGCTGACATAGGGTTTTCGATTTTTGAGTCCTAGGCGGATGGCCAGCTCCTGAGCGAGCTCGTTCACATCTTTATCCTGTGGAAGAGTAAACAGAAGAAGAGTGAATGAATGAATCCAGTGCACAAGCTACAAGTCTGAGCTACAGGCAGAGTATCAGTAAAAACTGTTCATCTCACCTTGCAGAGAGAAAGTGCTTTAAGATTCATGTAACAAGTGATAAAGAGACACTAATCATCTTTTAGGTTTTGACAAATAAAAATAAACAATCAATGATGTTATTGCCAATCACTTCATGACAACTATGCAAACTCCATCTGCTTTGGGAACAGGACTAAGAGTCTGCAGACATGCTAACAGCACTGTGAGGCTGGATTTAGGCAGCAGTTAGCTATTAGCATGAAACATAAAGCACAGGTGAGGATGACGGAAACACGACAGGTATCTAGATGTAACGTAACGTGGAAGTAACGGACACATTCTTGAGCTGCTGCTGGTGCGAAATAAAAGTCTGGGAAACACAAAAGTCGTTAGGATCCATCCTGAGGGCGACATGGAAGTGTGTTAAAAACTTCAGTCTGGACCAAGAATGAACCTTTAACCTTTGGCTTCTTACAAACAGCTCAATTTAAACACCTCCTCATACTGCACAGTAGTAGTTGGCAACTGGCGGCCCGCGGGCAAAAGCTAAAGTAAAATCTGGCCCACCAGATTGTTATCTTTTATTCTGAAAAGTTCTGAAAGGAAGTTCCAGAGGAGCGCACATACCATGTGTGATATGAAATAAATACCATGAGTTCAGTAAATCAGTCTATGAAAAGTATAATAATTGACTGTGGGTGGACGAGCTCACAAACATCCGAAAGAAGCTTCGGAAAGATAGGAATCACAACTTCCTGCCAGGACTTTCAGAATAAAATCAGAGCGGAAACAGGATGCGGATGACGACCAAGATCGTCAAATGAGATTCTAACAAAAAGATGATCATATGCTCTTTCTCTCCCAGTTGCATTTTTTATCAATATCTTGAATTAGCCTTTGATTAATGGATTAGAAAAACGTACTTGCGGACCCCTGCTGTGAGGTATGACAGGAGTTTAACTCTGGTACAAACAAAAAGGTCAGAATCTGAACATAACGCATTTCACTTCAAGACTCAACCACCACTTCCCTCCATTACCACACGCTCTTACTCGACGAAGCGGCGTTGCTGCACATGAAAATACCAGATTTGCATTGCGGCTTCTCTCAGACCCATTTGCATCAACTCTGCCAATCCCCTCTTTCCTTTACCAGGCGAGTGATAAGCAGACAGTCCGTGGTGCAGTTGTAGGCCTCCTTGTACTTCCCGAGCTCCTTCAAACACAGCGCCTTCCTGTACAGGGCCCTGCGGCTTTCCTTACACCCTTCAAGAGCTCTGTCGCAGTCCTTCACGCCTCGGTCATATTCCCCCTGTAGAAAACACCACAAATGTGGAAGACGTGCAAAGAGCTCAAATGAGGAGCAAGTGAAGTAAGCAAAAGCAAACTAATGCAAAAACAATGTACAATGTTGAGGGTCTTTTCTTCGCTATGCAGGTTTAAGCTCAGTGGCCTGGTGCTGCTGATAAACACATCTAAATGATTTAGTGCTGGTCACATTCTTTTCGGGGTAGTAAATCAGATTGGCATTGTTCTTAGAGGCAGCTTCATAACTCAGGTGTGAGGAGTGGCGAGGACAGAGCTGAAACGTCTTTGTTGAAACGTCGAAAACGGAAATTCCAGGTTATACGCCGAGTTTAAAGTCCAAATATCGATGTGTCCAAATTCTGTGATCTGTTAGTAGCTGTAGGAATATGTGCGGCAATGTTAATCTGCAGTTTCTCTCTTCCCATACCCTCGTATCTGGAGTTTAAGTTATGTTATCCATAGTCGAGTAATGGCTGAAAAGTGTGTTGTGAGGTCAAACTGACTTTGACCTTTGACCCCCAATATCTAATCAGTTCATCCTTCAGTCTAAATTAACATTTGTGCAAAATTTGAAGGGATTCCCTTGAAGAGTTCTGGACATATCGCATTAACAATCATGATTTGTGAGGTCACCACACCTGTGACCTTTGACCTTTGACCCCCCAAAATAAAATAAAAAATCAGTTCATCGTTCAGTCCTAGTGAATGTTTGTGCCAAGTTCTGTCGAGGTGTTACTGAGATGGGACAGAGGAAGGACAACCGGAAAACAACATGGCCGCCGGTTCTGACTGTCGCCGGCGCGGAGGAATGAAAAGTGTCACAACACGTCATGAAGGGTTTAATTATACAAGACTTAAATGTTAAAAAATATTCATGATTAAGGTATGAAGCATAAACTGTAATGGACCAATCACCTGCATGTTACTGGATATTTATAATAAAAAGTTGAAAAATTGTTTGAAAATAACTTCAACCAGTAATTATTTAGGGTTGATTTGATTTTACGTGGCTCCACAGTTGACTGACTCACGCTCAGATCAGGTTTGGGTGTGTAGAAGTGTTGATCGCAGGACTTGGTAGCCTTATTCACAGCGGCACACATTGCCCAAACAGATCTCTACACGTGTCTTGGCTGCGCTGCTGCAGAACGACGCAGCGTCTCAGAAACGCACAGGAGCAGATGTGTCTCACCAGACTGTGGTAGGCAGCAGCCCGGTTCACATACAGGCTCTCCAGCAACACTTCGGGGATCTGGATGTCCTCTCCCGCAGCGTAGCACGAGACGTTCAGGCCTTCGCTGAACTCTCTCGCGGCCCGCTCCCACTCTCCGTCTCTGAACAAGGCGTTGCCCTCATCGAGCAGGTTGCACACGAGCTGGGTGAGGAAGTCCTGGGGAGGAGGAAGAGGAAAAAGAGGGAGTATGCTTTTCGTGTTTTGTGAATGATTTCACACAGTCACGGTGGATAGTAAGAACAAAGGGTCTGAAAATACCAACAAGTGGTTCAGGAAAGGAGGAGGATGGTTTTTTTTATTTTTTATTTAGTTATTTAGCTTTTAACCAGGATCAAGGTCAGACACACGACAGATAAGCAAATCATGACAGGATGCAGACAAAATGTCCAATGAAATGCCGAGTAGAGACTTCAGAGTACGGGAAAATATCACACTTTCATTATTCATTCCAGGCCTCCGATCAGCTTGTTAACATTTGTCAGGCGCAAACCAAAAACCAAACCAGTGTACTGGACAAATTTAAGTTTGACCTGATGACGGTGCTGCAGGAAGCATTAGGATCATATAGTCTCATATATGTTGAGATTAGGGCTGCATAATTAATTGAAATCGCGAAAGGAGGAGGAGCTGCAGTTTTCTTCTTGATAAAAAAGGTAAAATGTGTCACAACAACAGACCGTAAATGAAGCGTTGTGGTGCGACAGAGACGCCCCGGCCTGCGAATCAAATCCTCCAGACGTGAGGGAGCGTGATAGTTCGGTACAAGCACCAACAAAAATCATATAATCATTTTTACATCTATTGAAAATATAAAAGATGGTGCCACTAGAACCATGCATGTCAACAAAATGTGGTGCCAGTCTGTACAATAAGTGTCAAAACAGGTCACTAAAAAACAAAAACATGGTTGTTAGGTTAGATATTTTAATCTGGACCCAAGGTGGTTTGTATATTGCTAAAAATCAACTGGCCTCCACATTAACAATCTTCTGAGTATCTGTGTTTACTGGGGCTGTTTTTTCTTGCTACAGCACAGAGGGAATTTTGTAATAAAAATACTGTGACTTATTTTGGCTAACTCAGAAAGATGAAGTCTGTCCATGTTTCCTTGCAAAGGGCGGACAGGAGAAATGATTACAGCGACCAATAACTCTTTCAAAAAGGGGAGTGATTGTACCGAGGCAAGACTTGAAAAACATCTTGAGCTAAAGATCAACACTGCCTCTAAGAAGGGAAAACTTAAAAACATAAAATGTCCCGTTTTAGTTTTACATGGAGCCGAGAATGAACAGAGAGACGGCAGGAAAACAGAAAGCACACTGAGAGGTCTGTGTGAGTTCAGCAGCAACTTATGACCAAGTGATTGTGGATCATAAAAAAATGCATGAAACCCAAGAGTGCAAAGGGGAAAAGACAGTGGAGACAGACATAACACTGTGTTTGTTAATAACAGCTGGTACCTGGTAGCCCTCGGGCTCTGGATAAGCCAGGGAAGACCTTGAACAAAAACACAAGTAAACACACTCAGCAAAGTACTGACACAGCTTGTTTATCGAGGATATGAGTCATTCAGAGACAGGGCAAGTTTCACTTTCCACTTTCCGTCAAATAAAACAAAAAACAAAACAAAAACTCACTGGATAAATTTCAGAGCTTTGCTTATCTCCTCCTTGCGCTTTTGTCTGGCAGGCTCCATGATTGTTCACTATAGGAGGAAGACAAGTGGATTTAGTGGCTGATGTTTATGTTGACATGAATGTATGCCCACTTCCTTCAGGAGTAGAAACCAAACACACAACCACCAAAAACACTCACTGACCCTGTGTTCATGCTTGTTCAGTGTTAAAGCCCCCCCCCCCAACACACACACACACACACATACACACACACACACACACACATATATATATATATCAAGCAAACAAGCCCCTGACCCTGCACGCTCCCTCGGCCCATCATGGCGCGGACTGGACCGACTTCAAACACACCTACCTGATGGAGTGAGGAAGTTCATTGAACCGAGGCAAGTTTCATCAGCGTGTCATGCTGAGTCCGAGGCGGGGGAAATAAAATACATTAAAACCTTTAGCAGCCGAGAGTGTCGTGCTGACGATGATGAACAACCGAGGAGGAAGGAAACCCGCGAACTTCCCGGTTAAGTTTCGATTCCCAGCAGCTCCAGTCCACCCATGATCCAGCTGCAAATCTCTGCACTGGCCCTTTAATGAGGGGAGGAGCCTTCCGGCCCTGAGTTCAGTCTGTCAGGCACCACTTCCTGCAAACAGACCCCGCCTACAACCACTCGCTCTTCTGTACGGAAGAGGATTAGGGCCACATGTGAACTTCTTTTCTTTTCTTTTCTTTTCTTTTTTTAGAATCCTGATTTTACTCATGTAGATATTATATTTTATCTTATTGTGTCATTTATCTTCTTTTAAGTATTTGGTTCTTGCCGTTTGGCAATCTGTTTTTCTTTCTTTGTACTGTCCACTTTGCTGCTGTGATGCTGCAAATTTCCCATAAAGGAATATTCTTATCTTATGTTATCTTATCTTATTTCTGTCCGCTTCTGGTCAACTTTTGGCAAAATTATTTTAATGCCATGTTTAAGATACTCTCGATTTCTGTTAAGATTTCCCCTATGTATTGCCATTTCTGGGCTCCCTGAAGACTATAGCCGTTACCAGTGTTGTGCCAGTTCACACTTAAAAAGAACCAGTTCAAAGTTCAGTTCATACAGATGAAAATGAACTAGTTCACGTTCATTTGTTGTTGTTTTTTATTTTTAATAAATAAGCTGCTATTCATCCATCACCAGCCTCAAATCATTGCCACTCGCAAACTAAATGAATTGTTGTAAAACCACTGAAGAATCACAGACATGAGTTACATTAAAAACCATCTGAACAAATCAGATTACAAATGATGAACGTGAACGTGAGTGAACGCCGTTCATGTTCATCATTTGTGAACTGATTCGTTCAGTTCAGCGTTCACAGAGAATATGAACGTGTTCAATGAACACACGTTCATGCACAACGCTGACTGTTACAGCGTTTCACCTCTTTGATAATGTAGTTTCTTCTGTAGCGATGATGTGAAGATGATGAAGGAATATCCGCAGACACCAGCTCAGTTGTATATAAAAAGGTTTATTACAAGAAAGCACAGCATCTTTTGACAAGCATCAAAACAGCCTGTCAGAAGATCCAAAGCCAAAAAGAATCTCCACCCGTTTTTCCCCAAAACCATACAATTTATAGGCTGGGTAACCTCTGGGTACATATTCATGACAAAGCTAATTCCTAATAACCTATAGAGGCACAGAGCCAACATTTATGCCCAAACATGGTCATTCTGTATGAAGAGAAAAGATACCATACATCCTTTATTTAAAACAGTTGTCAGCTTTAGGAATGTCTGAAAGAAAGGAAAGGAAGGGGTGCTCACCCGCTTCTGGCACCTGACCTTTCACCTAGGGTCTCCTCCTAAAAACACTCCTATCCTTAACTCACATGGCAGCTGGGACACAACAATAGCAAGACGTCATCTTCTTCTCCACTGGAAGTCAAAGCTGTCTTTCTTAAAGTTAGAGAAAATTATATATTCAGCAAGAGCTAGTCCAGATAAATTCTCCAATAAGTCCAAATCTTTCTTGACATTTTTTAACTCTCTTTAACTGTCATGCGTTGAGACAAAGCCCCCCCCACCCACCCACCCCCTTATTTTGTCCTTTTTTGTTTATTTTGTTTTAGTTATTTATTGGTTATTTATTTTATATATATATATTATTATATTTCAGATTGAAAAATTAAAAAACCCAAGAAAGCATAGCTTGTTGTCTCAGGGATATAAACTAAACTTGATGAGGATGTTTTCTGAATTTGCGGCACGTTTGTTCATTTGCATGTGTTTTCTTAAGCTGCTGTGTGTTGACCTCTCAGGGCCACCATAGTCGTTGTGTTCTAACAGACGCCGAGGGTGTGGCAGACAAAGTATTTGTTTTGGTCTAAGATGCAGGTGGTCTAGTGCGACATCTAGTGGCGCTGATGATAGTCCCCAGAACCTTTAATCATGCGGTTTTGTGCTTTTATTGACTCACTGAATTTACCACACAGCAGTCCGGTTTTCACCCAGGTACCAGCACAATAACAGCTGCAGCTTCAGTAATTGCCGGCATTGTCATAAGAAATGGGAATGAAGTAGTGAAAGTCTGTGCATACAACATTTTCAGTTCTTGTTATTTTAGTCTAAAATAAATCAGATGAAAACCTTGTTCGAAAGCTGTTTTCTGAAGTTTGATTAAAATGCTCATTCTTGATCTTGACTACAACTACTCTAAAATGTTCACAGCATGTTGTAAACTAATCTTTTGATGTTAAAATGTCAAGTGTTTTCTAAAAATACATTCTAAAAATGTTCATGGTTTTCTTTAAGACGAGGTTCATCTTTATCAGGGGAAAGATTTTCTCATAATGCAGGTTCATAACAGAAGAGGTTCAAACACCAATAACCGTGTGAAGAGTCTATTTATTGCAATTAGAGAAGAGAATACTGATATTTCTGTCATTAATTGTAGGAGCAGACGACCGAGTACAAACATCAACAAAACCAATTTCATCATGGACACAATAAAATCACACATGAAGCATCAGTCATCAACTTCTTCAACAAAAACATGCAACTTTAAAGACAGAATTATTTTAAAGAAAAAAAGGCAAAATGAAAAAAATATGAAGATAAAAGTGTCTGTTATTTTAAGATAAAACGGACAAAAAAGAACATAATATGACAACATTTCTCACGACTTTTTCCCTTTTCATGAAGTCTCAGACACACGTTTCAGGCATTTTCATCAGCAACACTAACCACCTTATAACACATTCCTATTTATTGATTATAATTGATCAGTTCTTTCAAAACTCCTCCAAAACAGTTTCTCAGTTACACAGATAAATAATACAACAATAACTAAAACTACAAACTCTGTGTAGTCTGTTATGATGCCCTGTGATGAGATCTGATTATTTAAAATGAGTTACATCATACAAATTTCACACATCTTACATTCCCGTTTTTAAGAAAAGGAAAATCAGTCCATACTTTGTGACAAATATAAGCATCTTCATTCCCTCTTTTAATGTTTTCTTTGAATATTCACATAGAAATTTCATGCATCTTCATCATCTTAAAAGAAAAGAAATAAAAAAGAATAAAAAGAACAGAAACTTCTTATGACTCCTGCAACTCGCTCTGTATATAACTGAATTAAAATACATATAGATCAGATTACAAATAGTTGGACTCATCTGTTCAATCAAAAACACGCTTTCTTTAAATCAGTTAAAGCTTCTCTGTTACTTTGAGAAAAACTGCAGGTGAACTGCAGTTTGTACATTTCATCCAGACTTTTAATCGCTTCTTCTTTACTGTATTTTCTCCACTCGCTCGGAATTTCTCCTCTGCCCTGGAATTTAAATTTATGGTGGTCTTCCAGTTGTTTTTGAAATCGACACACAAACCATTTCCAGTATGTGAGTTTAGACTCATCAGGAGTGATCTTCCATGCAGCAAACCTTGGTCCAGCAGTTCGGTACTGTTTATAGGGAATTTTTTCATCTGAATCCGAATTGGGGTAAAAACTTTTATCACTTGCGACTAATGTTGTGCAGAAATCAACTTCCAGTTCCACTGTGTCTCTATAGTGCCATCCATTGATCCCAGCGGGGCGATGAAAAGGGACGCAGTGCTTTTCAGGAAGGTGATCTTCAATGGTGTTGGTGCAAACAGCTGCACAGAATGGACACGTTACCCAGCAGCACTTGCACAGCTGATCGATAAGGATTTGATCAGGCTTCAGTCTGAACTCATTCATCTCATTCAGTGAGAGGTTGTTCATCTCCTTCATGATGGGTTCAAGGCTTTTCTCTATCTCTTCTTTCAGAAACTCAAAACGGTTTATGTCTCTGAAGTTTTCAGGACAAATGGAATCAAATGTCAGATCATCTTTTAGAGAACTGGTAAATTCTTCCAGCCACATGTCTGTGTCTCCTGTCTGGGTTTTGACTTTCTCTGTTGCAGTAAATAAAGCCTGACTCACATGTTGTTTCATGTCTTCAACATTTTTCTTGAGTATATCCCAAGCTTTATATTTGTGTGATGTGAAGATGTATTTCTCTACTTCCTCTTTTATAAACCTCTCCACATGTTTCCTTGGTTGATGGATGTAGGTGATGAAACCACTGAAGTCCTCTTTCTCTGCCAGTGACTTCAACACATGTTTCTCCAGGTTCAGTCTGTTCCCATTGAATGCTGGGAAACTGCACCTCATCTCTCCAGCTAGATCAATGGCAGTCTTTTTACAGACAGCCTCAACAGTGGAAACCTTCAGTTTTCCACAGATCAGTTCTCCGAGTACAACAGCAGAAGAGTTTCCTTTACAGAAGCTTCTGAAAATGTTGTAATATTGATCCCTTTTGCTTTCTAAATAAATCAGTGCATCATTCTTCTTGAATTTCTCGTGGGACTCTGAAAGCCAAGTCCCTGCTCTGTCAAACACATACAGTAAGAGATCAACTGTAAACTCCTTCTTCAGAGCAAATTTCCTCTCTGATTCAAATTCTGTCACTTTCTCTTTGACATTTTTGGCAACTTCTTGCAAATAAGTTGATCTGTAGCCTCTTGTAGCTACAGGTTTGTTCTTGATTATATCAAAAGTCTGTCCTTCAAGATTATCGATCAGGGATCTGATCAGTTGTTGATCTTCATGCTGAAAAATACCCTTAATGTAACGTAATACTTTTGTACCTGTTTTTGAAACCAAGTCACCAATTTGTTTAATTTTCCCCTTTTCCCTCTCTTGAGACTGTTGGCTTTTGTCACAAAGCTCCTGATACTTGGCGAGTGTCACATAATGAAAGTAATCACAAACCACTGATATGTTTTTGTATCTGCCACTGATTTTGGATTCATCAATAAGAGCCCATTCAAAACCAAGCTCTTGAAGGATAGTTGACTGATCTTCCTCCAAGTTGATGTCTTCAATAGGTTTTGTATCTGCAGTTAGTTCTCTCACCCAGTCGCTCCAAACAGAGTCAAACTGGTGTTTAAGTTTCTTTTCATCTTGTGTCTTGTGTTTTAACTGATGAGCGAGCTCTTTGCTATTCTGTAGCAGCTTGTTCTCAAACTCTGTCTTCTGATCATCAAGCTTTTTACAAGCCTTCTTCTGCTGGATAACTTCATCCAGTTTTCTTTTCACTCCTCTCACCTGTTCATCATGAAACTCCTTGATTTTGTTTTCAAATGTGCCTCGCCACTGAACCAACATTTCTTTGTCTCTGTCATCATCAAAGTGCTTTGACATTTCTTTTTGGATTTCTCCATATGTTTTGCTCATTTCTTTAGAAAGATAACTGAGCTCAACCTTGTCAAGTTTTCCATTTTCAATTTTAGTATGAAGCTGGTTTTCAATGGTCAACATGTTGCTCCTCAGGGTCCAGGTCCAGTTCCCGTACTGAACCTCAAGGTTTCTGTACACTTTAATTTCAAGTGTGTTTTTGAAACTGAAAACAAAGTTTTTGTTCAACAGGGCATCCCACAGGTCATGAATCTTGCTTTTGAACTGAGACAGAGTAATCCCATCAGACTGTGAAGCTTTAGAGAGAATGAAGTTCTTCAGCTCTTGGACGCTCTCACTATAACCTGGATTTGGAGGAGCCATAGGTGGACTTCCCTCCCAAAGCTGGGCAAAGTATTTCACATCTTTTTGTACATCAAATGCAATGATGTCACTGAAACACTCTGCATCACAAACCTCCTCTTTGGCAGCTAGTTGGGTCATCTGGTCCAGTTTTTCTTGCAGGCGTCTCTTTCCCTCCATGTTTCTCTCTGCAGCTGAAATATCTGTCACATTCTGGTGAACAAACACACAACTTGGAGAAAGTTTGACTTTCTTCATCCTCATGAAAGCCTGAACAACAATCTGCAGAACATCTTGCATCTCAGCTGGATTCTCTCCAAAGATGTTGAGTAATGTCATGTTTCCCAGACCAACAACAAAAGTTGCCAGTTCATTGTCGTGGTTAAGAGCGGCGTTACCTGCTAATTCAAGAGCACGCAGTCCTTCAGTGTCCACCACCAGCACATAGTCAAACTTAAAGTCTCTCTTCATCTCCTCTGACACTTTGATCAGCTGCATGAAGGCACCCTTGGTGCATCTGCCAGCACTCACTGCAAACTGCAACCCAAACATGGCATTCAGCATTGTTGATTTTCCACTGCTTTGTACGCCCAAAACTGACAACACAAACACTCTCTGGTCACCCAGTCTCTTGATGACTTCCTCTAAAAGACTAGAGATCCATGTCAAAGGCACATGACCTGCATCACCATCCATCAGCTCCATGGGATGTCCTGATATCATCAGCTCTGCAGCCAGCTCAGGGTATTTAGACCAGTCAGTCTGACTCCTCTTTGTTTGTTTCTGCAGAGATTTATGGGCTTCATAGATCTGCCCCATTTCTCTAAAGATGTGCTCCAAGCCAAAAGTTGCTGACTGCAGTTTTGTTGATATTTGTTCAAGCTCAGTCTGTTTTCTTTTTAGCAGATCAGGTTTGTCATGTTTCTTCTTCAGAGCCAAGACCTCAGACCACTTCTTATCATAGCTTTGGAGAATTGACGTGAGATCGTCTGTGGAGAGGGCGTCTATTAAGATCTGAGTCCATTTCAGGAAATACTCTTTGTCTGTTGATGGCAAAGATGAGAGACTTTCAATGAACAACTTCACCAGTTCACTACAGGAAGCATCATGTTGTTTTTCTCGTATTTTCATCAGTTCCTGTTGCTTTTCACTTTTGTCCTTCTCAACGTTTCCTTTGAGGTGATACAGTTCTTTCTTTATTCTGCACCACTCATGCCACAGTCGGCCATGACAAGGGAGGAACTTATCTTTGATTTCTGAAATTTCCATCCCCTGAAGTAAATTCACTGTTTCCATAGCAGCAGATTTTCCTTTTTGGCAGACTGTGTCTTCTTCATCCACTCTGATTCCAGAGACCTTGGCCATAGTTTCAAGCTGGAAGGATGTTTGTGATCCAGACAAGATCTCACCAATGATTCTTTTCAGTTCTTCAGAAACATCTGACTGGCTTCTGTCTTTTAGACCCATTTTATATTTTCCCTTTTTCATCTGAACTGCACCACGATCATTATCATTAATGAGACAAATCAGAGGCTTTGGAGACTCAAGAAGATCTGAGATAACTTCATTACTTTTGTCACCTTTTTTCAGAGTTGGTAACAGAACAACATTGACTGAAGATTTTTCAGTCAGTATCTTAAGCTGTTTTTCAATCGACAGAGCATCACCATGAAGATTACAGAAGGCAGTGCAGTCAGTGAAGGCATCGTTGGGTTTTCCAGCAGGACAGTACCAGGCAATCTCTGCCACACCATCCATCAAAAGGCGAGATCTGGTGCTACCTGGGCAGTTTCTGTGGAAGAAGGTGTTGTGACGCTCGTTGATCAAAGTGTTCATCAGCTGAGATTTAGACACTGACAGTGAACCCAGGCGGAAAAATGACACCATGGGTGTCTCAGCTTTGCAGATGGGGGAACTCTTCATGGTGACAATGTTTGAATCACCCTTGATTTGAGTTGTCTTCCAGGTTTTTCTTATTTGTCTGAATGTCCACAGAGGAAACTCAACATCCAGTGTGACTGGGTCAGGAACAAGCAAAGGTAAGGCGTACTGACACTGTGACAGCTTTGTCATCATGTTCTGCTTAAGGAAGCTGTCTGAGCAGTGAAATACTGCCATTTGAACGTCCATCGGATGAACATGAGTTTGATATGATCGATCTGAGTTAACATTGGTGCTAAAAAGAGCATCTAAAGCACTTTCTTTTGTGTTTGAAGAATCAAACTGTGCAACAGGATTTGAGTGGCTCACCTCAGCTCTGTCTTGTCTTACAGGAATATATCTGGCTCTGTAGTCTAACATCATCAACCTCTGAAGAAAAGTATGAGCTAGATCTTCCTCAGATGTTTCATGGTCCTGTTTCACTGGTGGACCTATTTTAAGAAAATCTGCTGGAGACAACTTCTGTTTGTCTTGAAGGTGAAGTCTGTGAAGCAACGTTTCAAGATCTCTTCGACATTGTTCCTCACAGCTGATTTCTTCAGATTTCTTCTTGGGCTTTTCCTGATGATGAACCTTCAAAGAAATTGTAATGTATGTTAAAAATTATCACTTTTTGCAAGGGGATGTGATGAGATAAATATTCCTAAGACCTTATGAATTTCAGGTCTCTTACTTTATCCTTGTTTCCAGTGTCTTCATTTGTGACGCCTGTTTATTTGAAGGAAAGAAGAAACATTTTAAGATTACACAAATATTACTCACTAAAATTATGTGAAAGATTTGAAGAAAACCTGTAGGCAGTGTGCAACAGTTTGAACCATCTGCTGTGAGTCATGTTACGCAGGTCAAGAGTTTCATGACGGATCCACAGATTTCTCAAAACTCTACTTAAATCATGTCAAAACTCTCGTCTTGCATTATTTTTCATTCAGGTGCTGAACTTAGGCCAGATCTTTGACCATGACATCAGAGCTCACCTGAAGGCCTGCAGTGTCTCTGTGTTGCTCAGGCTGCTGTTGAAAGGATTTTCAGAATGAAATGATCCCTGACATTAACAAACAAATCAACAACCAAGCTGCAGTTAATTTACCTTATAAATAATGATCATGTTTGAATGACCCATGTGCAGTAAGAACTCTGCTCCACTCATGGAAAGAGGATGGAGGCTTTAAATCGTAAATATTTCTCCCACAAATTTCAAAGATAAATGTTTGATTTGATTACAGAACTTTATTATTAGCTGAGCTCAGCTGTTACACTTCTTTTTAAAAATACCTGATGTCTTAACTTGCTTTGGGAGGCATTTTCATCTACAGTGATTGAGATAAAATAACATTTCTCAGTGACAACCACGAGTTAGCTATCAACATCAAACCTCTTAAATATCAGTTGATGTTAGTTTTGTCCAGTTGTCCTGTTCTGTAACATTTGAAATGTCAAACTGATTTTGGAAGAGTTTTAATTTTTTGTGTAGACTCCTGTATGTCAAGGAGCTTTGATTTAATTATATGTTATTATTTGAGGCTGTTATTTGTAGTGTTACACTGCATTATGTGTCTCATATTTAGTCCCCGCCCTAGTATATAACATTTTCTAATAAATGGATGAACTGGTATTTACGGGGGCCCTGAGCGTTCAACTCAAATACTCACAACACAAACAAATACACAGTTTGTGTTTAGTGTATTTGCATGTATTTTGTTAAGTTGCAGTGCGTTGAGCTCTCAGACCCACCGTGGCTAATGCTCAGGTTTTTCTCTTACCTTTTGTAACAGGTGTGATTACAGTATTGACCACATGTTCTCTTACTGCTGATGAGCTGTCCTCATTCTTCCTTAAATGTTCATCATCATCAGGTTCATCCACTGAACAACACTAAAAAAACATTTGTTTTAATCTCACATGGATGTTATTTTATTTTTTACTTTAATCAGATTAGACCATTTTCAAAGTGAGAGGTCACCAACACCAGCAGCAGATAGAGAAACATACATGCTAAAAACAATCAATAAATGTTAATGTTAGTCAGACTATATAATTAGTAACACATTCAGGAAAACAGTTATAGAAGATCAAATTCCAGCCAGGACCACATGAAAGAATCGAGAAATTAAACTCCTCTGTATAAGCACTGCAAACTGTTCTTATATCACACCAGCTGGCGTATGAATACAAAAAGTAGTGACAGATAATTTGTAGACTGCATATTCTGTCAAATCAGAATGTGCAGTTTAACACAACCCTAATCTTGCACACAGTTTAAGAGACATATTGACCTCACAGTCGGAACTGTACTGTTCAATTTTCATTTCATAGCATCCCTTATCTGTTTGAGAGTAAAGGAATGAAGTTACAAGTTACTTACAAGTAGCTCCTTTAAACCTATGATAATCAGGGTCTTATTAGTTAAGATCGTCTCCGTCTACATCTACAGCTCTCAACTGTTAATATAAAATTAATTTCAAAATAGTCAAAGAAAAATTTCAAGACATATCACTTCATTCTGAAAATATTACATCTTCTATCACTGATTTTATTTTTAAGTAAAATTACTTTCATTTTCATCTTAAATTATTCTCAAAATATCTGTCTTTTAACTCACTAGTGTCCCTGACACTCCCTCATAAATGAAAAGCTGCGATAAATCGATAGTAATCATGTGAACAATATCACACAAAAGGGGGTGATGTGCTGAATATCAGCACGGCTGTGATTCGTTCATAGGTATGAGGCCACAGGCCGAGTATCGAAGACAGTCACAGCCCGGCAGGATGGAGATGCCTGCGAGAAAGCAGAAACCCTGCAGAAGGTATGGTCTTGGAGAAGGCGGACAGGGTGGACATTGTATTATTTCAGACCTATGAATTAGACTTTGGAGATGATAGAGACATTTTTTAATATGATGAGAGCATGGTATATAAACTGGCAAGAAGCTTACACTCAGGCGGGCCAAGACCTAGGTCAGTCAACCAAGAAGCAAAAGTTTAAAAGATGTGTAAGTGGCATCCAGCTGTATTAGTTTGACTTATTTTTGTTTACTCTGTGCCTGCACCTAGTACCAGTGGATCTAGAGGTTATGATTAACAGATCTGATTGTTGAATTTGTTGTATTATTATTTATGTTTGGTTATTAATCAATGGATCACATACAGAACAAAGTCTTATAGTCTTCAGTACTATTCCTTGAAGGAATTCTCTTCAGATTGGCCACTATAAATACTATATATTGATTAATTTTGGCATACTCAAGAATTCAGAACAGCTAATTCTGACACACATTTTAACACAAATGGTCTAGTAGGATAAATAATTAAATGAGATATCATTTTATATCCAAAGGGTCAAAAGTTAAATTTCACTATAACCATAATAACTTCTGCCAAAAAACACTTTCTGACATTATTTATTATAATTGTGTACCATCATATTACTATGGCAACTTGGACTTGGTTTGGTGTAGTAAACCAGCAAGACTGTATTGTAGTTTCCACTATGTTTTTTGAACACAAGACCGTACCAAAAAATTATCAGATAAATATTATCAGTACGTTCATTGGCAGACAATTAGTAGTTACAAACCAACGGGAAAAAAAACGCGATATGCAATTAATAAGATAGATTTTGCTAGTGTAATTAACAATAAGACTGTGGTAATGTCATTATTTGTATTAAATGTTTTAATTCTATCAGTACTTCTTTTGCAGTTTTGCACTAAGAAAAATCAAGTCAAACCAGACTAAGGCATATCGATGAACTCCTTGATACATAACTTAAACACTTGATCATTAGAATACGCAAATAGTAGTGTCATACAAGGCCTCGGAGAACATGCTTATAAGATCTGGATCTTAGTCCCTGAAAAGAGGCTAAGGAACTTTCCTCTCCCCTGCTGCAGTACATAATACAATGTGTGTAATCTGCATGGAAGTACACAAATAGAGACAAATAACAACGGAATACATTTAATGATATTTAGAACATAATTATAGTAAGAGAGGAAATAATAAGATTAACATTATTGATTAGAACTAACGTATTGTGGTCTATTAAAAGAGTATATGTATAATTAATAATTTTAGGAGTGATAAATTAGCACATATAACATGCCTAATATACTTCATTGCACACGTTACGATATTATATAATACTCGTGAGAATAAACAATGCTTGCTCTTCAACCAAAAGGCAGTATTCAATCAAATGTCAACCAAAGTACAACTAGTGTTTACAATGTCTGTATTAAACGAAACTAAAGAACAAACAACATTTTTGAGATTAAATTTCTGCCAATAAACCACGCTTGATGTATCAGATACGTACAAAAAAAATCTTTGTGTATGTTAAAAATTGTTTCCATAATTGCCCAAGCACAAGCTTTTTCAATTAGTGCACTGGAGTGCATGCTTCTATTCATATGATGATTTGGACAATAAATTTGAACTTTTAACTATTTTATTTTATTTTTATTTTATTTTTCCATTGTTCATGACTAAGAAAATCCTTCGCTATCTCGAACTTCGTGTTATTGCCGACCTATATTATTTCCAAGCAGGATGACTGGGAACAGGGGACTAGATGTCCGAGCCACTCTGCCCTAAGAGATCACCAATTGCGGACAGGTCAGATCATAGGCTGCAGGTAGCCAGCTACTTGCGTTGTCGAGTATACCCTCAGCTGAATGAACCGAACAGTTGTTATATCTTAACAGACATTGGTGTGGTACGGGTGGACAATGAACTGGGTTGGTTGATGGCTTCCTGATGAAACACAACTTCAGTTAAGTTAGTCTTGTCTGGTCTGTTCACATTGTCAGAATTGTATCTATTTAATCTGCACATTACAAATATCAATACAATATCAACTGCCCCTAATCTTGTGACCGGCAGATTCACAATTCACCACATGCACCTCCTACTTCCTGTGTCCTGACCACGCGCTTGTATTCTACAACTCCTAAATGTCTTGATGGAGACCAGGAGCGTCGTGTGATGGATCTGAGAGAAGAACTGTGGTAGGAATCATGGTAACCCTACTGTTTACTGCCAGAACACCTCCTTATTTGAGCCAGCTAGATTCATTTTTGTGTTCCGCAATAGATGTTCATGTTATCTTTTGTCACTTTTAAGAGTTTTCCTGCGAGTTCCTATGAAGTTTGCCTGTCCAGCGGGGGACCAGTGTGTCCATTCCGAGATATGCAGTGTGAACGGAGTGTTTGGACTGCAGGGACCATTCTGGATGAAGAGACTGTTCGTAAGCTGGCAACACTGACATAAGATAGAAATAAAATTATATTATGCCATTGAATTAGCAATGTAAATTAGATTGATTGCCCCATTTCGTCTGCCAGGTTTATTGAGATAATAATACATTTTATTTTCATTTTTTAATGTTGTCATTGCAGTTGAATCAAAATGAAAATGCAAATATTATTACATATTACACCTCTGTCTTGATAGCCAGTGTCTAGCCTTTCGTTGCTGAGTTACTGAAATTCCTCAAGAGATGAGCCAATGCAGTTTCAGTCATTTTGAATGTGTGTTTGTCCCTACAGCCACTCGAGGTCCAGGCCTCTGCTCAGCGAATATGAAGTTCCAGGTTGCCAGAGGATGTTTCTGCTATACCCGACGAAGTGGGATGTGACGGCCACGGGTCCAATGTGAGGATGGATCCGATAAACAAACTCTGCCCTCCTACCACCCGTGCAGACGCCAACCATACTGTTCCAGTGTGGGGCCCGCGCCAACAAGATGTGCATCCCGACCAAGTTGGTTGGTGTGATGGCGAACAACGAGCTGCCGGGACATGAGTGATGAACAAACGCCCCACCGCCTCCATTTACTGCCATCTGGACAAGTGGCAGTGCCCCACTGACCAGGTGTGCATCAGCATGGACAAGGTGTGCACGCCCAGAGGGACTGCCCCAGATGGAGCAGTGAGTCACCTATTCTGCAGTGAGTTTTATTTGGCAAGAATAACAAAAAAATAATGATATTTTGAAACTCTATCCATCTATATCTTGTCTATTGCCGTCGGGTATTTGAGCAGCTATTTATTAATATTTCTTTCATATAGAATATTAAAACTTTTTAAAATTTCCAATAATGCCCTGTTATTACTCTGGAAATAAATACATAAGTAACGGGTTGAATTAAGTAAAGGACTCTCGCAAATAATAATTTAACATTATAATTTCAAAAACAGAGACAATACATCAGAGAAATAGTACATTATTTCAAATCTAAATAAATGAAGTTGTCCATCCCTAGGGAAAAATAAAAGTGATACTGGATTCTATATAGATTATGCCGTCCAGCACTAGTGTTTTAAGGACATACCACACGATTATTTCAGTGCAAGTAAATGTCATAAAAGAATTGTTGCAAAAAGACAAAAAAAAACATGGACAAAGTCACACTGAAACTAAAACTGACAGTTACTACTAAATGTAAATACCAATGAATCACTGATTGATGTCATTTCACCAAGAACAAGATGACTGTTGCACTGAACAAGGGGAGCGGCAACGGTCATTTGCGTGGTTGTTCCACAGTGAGACCTGTGTTATTGGAGTATCGTTACTATGTGCACGTGTCCATCATCAGGTCTGACACAAGCTTCAAACGACTCTTCTAGCATAAGAGCTGGTGAGGTACATCAACTTGCATGTCCTGAATCCCCGTTTTGTCTGCAGCCACATGGCAAGTGCTTAGGCAATTAAAGCTGGGAGAGAGGAAAGCTTGTCAAGTGCTACTGCGTGGCACGTAATGTGTAGCTTCTATATCCGTGATGGATCGCTTAACCTGGCGAAAAGCTACAGAAGTCATAGGTCGGTCAACAAGTCATCAGATTACAGAATAAAAGCTTCTATTTATAACTAATACGTGGAATTGTTTTTATGTATATTGCGGATAAAATAGTGTTTTTCAGTAATATTCTGGATTTTATGAGATAGAAATGCCCGTTTTTTCGCTTATTGTGATTACATAAGACATAAGTTGTCAATTAATTGCTTGGATCAAAAAAGCCTTTAGAATGCAGCATATACAGGAACTTAAAAGTGAGAGTTGGAGGTAAGATGGTCTGAACAAAAGCTGAAAGGATGTGGGATAGATGATTTGGTATGAATACGTAGATATTCGCCGCTAGAACCCAGTAGCACAGTATGTGATCATTTCTGGTTGGTGTGTGGTTTTAAGTATATTGCGGTAGCCATGGTGCGAGGCGGTGGTAGCAGTCGCTTCGTTGTTAGTGTAGTTGGTCGGTGTTTGATGCTGGGAAGCACAGAAAAGGTGAGATATTCAGAATTAATTAATCCAACAGTTATGTTTTCCCGACCAACGCTAATTTGATTGACGAGAGGCATTTGCAATTGAGTGCTTGATATAGAGTATAACCAGCCCGCTGTACTGTACACTTCATGTATCTACTCCTGCTTAACCATTAAGTCAGTGTTAATTAACCGGTCGTTCATGCGTTCTCAGGATTGTAACAACTTTGCAAAGACTGAAAATGTATTTCCAGAGAAGAGTAACATTTTTGAATGAGCTACATGATTGTCTAGGTTGTTGAGGACAGAAGATGTAAGGGAAGAAGCCTTGATGACCTTTTTAGAGCACTCGCTGAAGGTAAGTCATTCAGAGACAGTAGATGAAACGCAATGGTGTGGAACAGAAAGCCAGCTAGCTAGTGGACGCTGTGCTAGCGTCAGGGAGAAAGTGTGTTGCTTGGCAATAGATTTATTGGTATGTTATAACATGGGAAAATTGGGGTGTAAAGTAATTAAGACAGGCCAGTACTCAGCTCCAAGGTTTATGCTAAAGCTAGTTTGTGTTGTCGTACGTAGCGAAAGTTAAATGATAAAGGAATGCAAAGCAAGATCAGTTGAAACTCTTATAGGTTGTTTATTTAAGCTAAGATTATGGCCAGCTCGTAGAACTTGTTGTATAAAAGCAACAGTTTAAACTGTTTGTGGTCGTGAAGTTGTGGTTTGAATATCAGGCA